ATTTATTTTCTTTTCATGGCTGAATAATATTCCATTATGTATATGTACCACCTCTTCTTTTAGTCACTCATCTATTGATGGACTTTTATGGTCTTCCGTATCTTGGTTATTGCAAATAGTGCAATGATAAAAATTGGGGTGCATATGTCTTTTTGAATCAGGGATTTTTTGAGGGATAAATTCTTAGGAGTGGAATTACTGGGTCAAATGGTATTTCTAGTTTTAGTTTGTTGAGGAATGCCATACTGTTTTCCACCACGGTTGCACCAATTTACAGTCCTACCAACAGTGTACGAGGGTTCCTATTTTTCTGCATCCTCATTAGAATTTGTTGTTTCTTATTTTGGATAGTGGCCATTCTAACTGGTGTGAGGTAGTATCTCATTGTGGTTTTAATTTGCATTTCCCTGATGATTGGTGATGTGGAGCATCTTTCCATCTGCCTGTTGGCCATCCTTATTTCTTCTTTGGAGAAGTGTCTGTTCAGATCCTCTACCCATTTTTTAATCAGGTTATTTGTCTTTTGGGTGTTGAGGCATGTGAGTTCTTTATATATTTTGGATGTTAACCCCTTGTCAGATGAGTCATTTATGAATATATTCTCCCATACTGTAGGATGTCTTTTTGTTCTGCTGATGGTGTCCTTTGTTGTACAGAAGCTTTTTAGTTTGACATAGTCCCACTTGTTCATTTTTTATTTTCTTTCTGTTACCTGAGATGTGTTCAGGAAAAAGTTGCTCATATTTATGTTCAAGAGATTTTTGCCTATATTATCTTCTAAGAGTTTTATGGTTTCATGACTTACGTTCAGGTCTTTGATCCATTTTGAGTTTACTTTTGTGTATGGCGTTAGACAATAATCCAGTTTCATTTTCTTACATGTAGTTGTCCAGTTTTCCCAGCACCAGTTGTTGGAGAATCTGTCTTTTCTCCATTGTATATTCATGGCTCCTTTATCATATACTAATTAACCATATATGCATCGGTTTATATCTGAGCTCTCTATTCTGTTCCATTTATCAATGAGTGTGTTCTTGTGCCAATACCAAATTGTTTTGATTACTGTAGCTTTGTAGTAGAGCTTGAAGTCAGGAAGCCTAATCCCCCTAGTTTTGTTCTTCCTTCTCAGAATTGCTTTGGCTATTTGGGGTCTTTTGTGGTTCCATATGAATTTTAGGACTATTTGTTCTAGTTCATTGAAGAATCATGTTGGTATTTTGATAGGGATTGCAATGAATCTGTAGGTTGCTTGAGGCAGGATGGCCATTTTGACAATATTAATTCTTCTTATCCATGAGCATGGGATAGATTTCCATTTATTGGTGACTTCTTTAATTTCTCTCATGAGTGTCTTATAGTTTCAGGGTATAGGTCTTTCACCTCCTTGGTTAGGTTTATTCCTAGGTATTTTATTCTTCTTATCCAATTGTAAATGGAGTTATTTTCCTGATTTCTTTCTGCTAGTTCGTTGTTAGTATATAGGAATGCAACAGATTTCTGTGTATTAATTTTGTATCCTGCAACTTTGCTGAATTCAGTCATTAGTTCTAGTAGTTCTTTGGTAGATTATTTAGGGTTTTCTATGTATAATATCATGTCATTTGTAGATAGAGACAGTTTAACTTCTTTGTTACCAATTTGGGTGTCTTTTATCTCTTTGTGTTGTCTGATTGCCATGGCTAGGACTTCAGTATTATGTTGAATAAAAGTGATGAGACAATAGCATCCTTGTCTTATTCCCAACCTTAGAAGAAAAGCTTTCAGCTTTTCAGCTTTTCAGTTAAGTATGATGTTGGCTGTGGGTTTGTCATATGTGGCCTTTGTCATGTTGAGGTACATACCCTCTATGCCCATTTTGTTGAGTTTTATCATGAGTGGATGTTGAATTCTGTCAAATGCTTTTTCAGCATCTAATGAGATGATCATGTAGTTTTTATCCTTCTTTTTGTTAATGTGGTATATGATATTGATTGATTTATGAATATTGTACCATCCTTGCATCCCTGGAATGAATCTCACTTGGCCATGGTGGATGATATTTTTTACGTATTTTTGAATTTGGTTCACTAATATTTTGTTGAGGATTTTTGCATCTATTTTCACCAGGGATATTGGTCTGTAATTTTCTTTTTTTGTGTGGTGTCTTTGTCTGGTTTTGGTATTAGAATGATGCTGACCTCATAGAATGAGTTTGGAAGTAGTCCCTCCTCTTTAATTTTTTGTAATACTTCAAGAAGTATGAGTATTAGCTCTTCTCTAACTGGTAGAATTCGACTGTGAAACCATCTAGACCTAGAATTTTGCTTTGGGGGAGTTTATTAATTAAGAATTTGATTTCATTGCTGGCAGTTGGTCTGTTCAGAGTTCCTGTTTCTTCCTGGGTCGATCTTGGAAGGTTGTATTTTTCTAGTAAGTGTTCCATTTCTTCTAAGTTGTCTAATTTATTGGCATATAATTTTTCATAGTATTCTCTAATAACTCTTTGTATTTCTGTGGTACCCATTGTGATTATTCCTTCTTCGTTTCTGATTCTTTTTATTTGTGTACATTCTCTTTTTTTCTTGGTACTGTGTTTCTTTTTCTTTACTCAAGTAGAGAGGGAAACACTGGAGTGGGTAATGAGGGACCTGGGTGCCTGTGTCTGGTGGGGTAGAGTTCATATTCCAAGTTACCAAGCAAAGGATCCTCATTGACCCAGTGTGGGACAGGGATCCACCCCTGGTGAAAGGAGTCCAGGAGAAAGGAGTCACACAGGATGCCAGGCTGGCCATGTCCACCATAGCCCTTGTAAAAGGATTGGAATAAGACAGGATTGGACCCCAGGAAATGGAGATAACCTCAGAGAGCAGTAGGCAAGCCTCTTCTTCCCAGGAATAGGAGAGGTGAAGTCCACAGTGTTTAGTGGGAAGAAAAAGTTGTCAAAGAATCTTCCCTTCCTGTGCCCCCATTCTTGGCAGGGAGGAGGATGGCCATACATCTGTTAATAGCAATAAGAGTGCGGTGGGAATCAGGGAGGATTTGGGACAACCTTGGTGAGTGTGGGTTGGAAAGAGAGCTCAGGAAGAAAGGGGTCTCTATGGAATCCCGGGTCATCTAGGTCTCCAGGCTCCCAGGGCCCAGAATCCCTAAGTGTGTAGGCTGTAAGCAAAGAGCCTCTCTCTGGTTTTAGGCATTCTCAGACCTCAAGGACCGGGTATGCAGCAAAATAAGGGACTAAGAAACCAAATAGAACATGGACATGTGGATTCATCACAGGGCTCAGGGAAGGGAGAAGGGTGCGCAGGAAAGGGAGTGGGCATGGAACCTACAAGCGGAGCTGGGGCCAGTTAGCCTTTACTGGGTTCAAGGGTCACTTCCTTCCCACCAGGGCAGACCCTACACTAGCCAAAGCTGACTGTGATGTTGGATGTCTTGGATTTTTCTGTTTGGAAAATGTGTCAAGGAATCACCAGACAGCTTAGAGGAAACCAACAATTCACCCTTACCTGGAGATGAGAGTCATTGCATTTGCAGAGACCCTACGATGCACAGTTGTTATCTGCTCTAGTGAGGCTCAGCAGGCCCACCACAGCCAGGAAGGGGAACGGAGCTCAACCAGGATGTGTAATACAGGACAGGCTGGTGGGAGGACTCAGGCTGTTGCAGAAAAAGTGGTGAGGTGCCTTAGCCACCAGGGGGACAGGAGGTCTTGGAGGCTGATGAGGTGTGTCCAGTGAGGCTGGCCTTGCCAGGTCTCCTTCACTCTACTCTCAACCTCCAGTTTCACCTCCTACACACCAGCAGTGACAGTGTCTGCCTCCTCAAACGTTAGTGAGGGTCTGTAGGTAGAACCCGAGGGAAGGAAATATTTTCTCCAGATTCTCTGTCATTACCTTTGTAGCAGACACGTCAATCCTGGTGCCTGCCAAGCCCACACCCAGGCCACACCCAAACGAAAAATGCTTCCTTCACAGCCCCTGAAGGAAGGCAGCCCTTTAGGGAGACACATTTTGTGGGGCACAGCCCGGCCCTGATCCAACCCCAGCTAATTGGGTCAGGGGTTGCCACCTGACTCAAGCCCAGCCAAGCCATTGGTTACTGCATGACCAATGATGTGCTCTGGCGCAAAAAAGATGAGTTGGGTCACTTAGATGCTCTCTCTTGGAAATCTGAACAGGGAAATCCTGAGTGAATGGCACCGCTCCACAGTTTACAAAGGCGAGTTGACATGAGCCAGGGTAAGCAGACTTCTTAATACAGAGGCTCAGGGTGCCAGAGTGTCTATCCAAAAGGATCTGACAGAAGCTGAGAGCTTCTTATGATAATCAAGCTTCAGAAGTCCCCAGATGTCACTTCTGATGTTCCTTTGATCAAGCAAATCACTTAGGCCAGCATAGATGCAAGGGAGGAGAATTAGACCCCACTCTGCAGTGAGAGGAGTAACAAATAATGTCATTTTTATCCGCGCTACCCTCACAGCTCACCAGCGTCACCAACATGGCTATGGTGGACATGGCCAGCCTGGCATCCTGTGTGACTCCTTTCTCCTGGATGGGTAACTGGACCAGGGGTGGATCCCTGTCCCACACTGGGTCAATGAGGATCCTTTGCTTGGGAACTTGGAATATGAACCAAGACACTCTAAACCTGTCTATCTACTCCCTGACAGGGAATATGTATGAACATGAACTATGTGGCAACCATTTCTGCCCTTTGGACTGGGGAGCAGAACTGGTCAAGGGAAAGAGAGAAAAATGAGACAATACAAACGTGCGGAGAAGAAAGATGGAGAGAATTTCCTGAGTTCTTACAAAGCTCCGGTATCTGCCTCTAGGCTGTGCCTGAGACCCTGCTCTCTCCCCAGCCTTAAAATAAATTCTCCTTTTAATGCAAGTTCTCTCTCACCGGTGTGTGCTACTTACAAATGAGAATCCTAGTTAACCCAGTCTCCCCAGCCTCTAGTTAGTTCAGTCCTCTTTTTCTTCCATTCTGGATCTACATGGCCCTGGGCCATATCTTACCTTGAGAACGACAGTAGGTTTCATCTTAAATGCCCACTCCAACCAATTGGTGCCCGTCTGAAATGCTGTGATGACAAAGATTCCGAGGTTGCTTCTAGACTCAAAAAGAAAATTACAATGTCTGCCATGAAATGGGAAGGGTCCAAATGCTCACCATATCTGTTTTCTAATCTTGTCACACACCCGTCCCCTCCCATATAACACCCAGTTTAGTGTCTCACCCGGAGTAGACTCGTAGGATATACTGGAGAATGGATGCATGACAAGAACGATTGTCTAAGAGACCCATTCAGTTGGATGAGTGCAAGAAGTGGAAGATGTATGGGACAGAAGAGACAAAGGCATCTGATGCTCTCCGTTTAGGAATCAAATACACAAGTGTGGTGGCAGGTGGGATTTACTGAGCATCTGACTAAATCTTGTTCATCCTACAAAACTCAGTGTGAAGCTTCTTACCAGAAGGAAGCTTGCTCTGACATACGCCCACTCCCATGTCTGAGATGGACCTCTGCACTAATCACAGTTTTTCTAGTTGAAAGAGTTCAGTTTTCTCTTAAAGGAAACTTTTGGTTCCTGTAACCAGAAAGGCCAAGAAAATTACATTTCACTACAGGCATGCCTGTATGCAGGTGCCCACACAAGGTCTCCGTAGGTCACTCAGCTGTGCTTTCCACTGCTGTCTTCCTCCCCAGGTGGGCTCTCCCAAAATGACTACAGAAATGGACAGCAGCGTCTTCAAGGCTTACTTAAATCCTATCATCTTAGCAACTCCTAGGAAATGAAACTGCCTTAAAACAAACAATTTAAACATCAAAAAAAAAATCCCAGTGCTGATTCTTACTGGCCTGGACAAGGCTACTTAGTCCTCCCTGAATCAATTCCCAAACTCTGCCCAAGTCTGGGTCACCTGCCCACCCCTGGAGCCCAAGCTCCACTGTATCCAGGCAGGCTAGGAACAGGCAGGGATTTTTCTCTACAGGAAAATGAAGGTGTCATCACAGAATAAGGGGCCCAGGTGCTGCTGTCCACACACTGTCCTTTATGCTCTCTTGAGCCCTGGGGTTTTCCCATCAAATCAGGAGCTGCTGGAGAACAAGGACTTGTCCTATGTATCCCCTGTACCCCAGCACCCAGCATGGGACCTAACACAGAAAAGTTCCCAGACCTCTCTCAGCTGAAGACTTTGTCCATGTCTCAGTGACAAAGTGAAATAACAGGAACGAGCTCCTCTCTCATCCTGTACCCAGACAACACACCTTTCTGCAGCTGCACGCACTGGCCCAGCCCCTCCAGAATGGTGTGTCCCTGTGTGAGTGTACTGTGTTGCCTGGCCTTTATTTCTCTTCCTCCTGATACCGAGCCCCTCGCTTTCCCCTTAGGAAACCACCTGTTCCCATTCTCAGCCTTGTAGTGTGAGTGGGGGATCCCAACCCCAGTTCCAGGGATATACCTTGATTGGCCTAGGTCATCCATTATGTTCCTTCCTCCTGCCCCTATTGGTTGGCTCAGGGATCCTAGTGCAAGCCATTTAGAGCAATGAAATAAGAGAAGGTGAGAAGACATTTGCAGAGATTTGGGGAAGAGAAGCATCAGCCCTCTTCCCCAAAAACCCTCTCTTCTCCTGGTTGGTGTGCTATGAGGGTGTGAGTTCTGGAAGGGCCTCCTTAACAGCAGCACTATATGGAGCCTGGGGATGAAGCCAACGCACGGAAGGCAGACCGAAGAGTTGGAAAGACTGAATGAAGTCTTAGTCAATTCCAGAGCAGCCATATTGTGCAACCTCCAGGCTGAGAAGGCAGAGAATAAAATAGTCACAGCTGGCTTAGCCCCAGCAAATATAGGTCAGTATCCAGGCTGCCTACCTTCCTGCCCTGAAACAAATTTGGGTTTTATAAGGAAGGGAGAATGGATATTGGATGAGTAACTCATTGTGTCTGTCACACACCCTACCTCTGGATACTTCAGTTACAGTAGCCAAGTGTATTGCTAACGTCTGTTCAAGTTGGAATTTTTTTGTTGCTTGAACCTTCTCTGGTCCTGCTTGTTGCACCCATGAGAAGCCACTGGGGCTCTGGATTCTTCCTGCACCCTGCACTTTCTCAGGGTTTTACTTCTGAGATTAGCACCTCCCTCTACTGCATCAATTTCCCTCCCTCATTCCTGATGACATAAACTTTAGTGCTTATGAACCACGGCTGCCCATTAGAATCACCAGGGAAGCCATAAAAAATACTAATAGGTGGGTCCAACACCCAGACCCTGGGAAGGCACCTGAGCATTGCCTTTTCAAATGCCCCTAGTCGCTCTAATGCAAAGCCAGGATTGAGAATCACCATAGGAGGAGTTGCTCATCTTGAGAGCAGCTCTCTTCTGACCTTATATGCCCTGTTATCACCCCATTTCCCCATCCCCCTCACAGCAAAACTTATTAAAAGAACACTCCACTCTCATTGTTTCTACCTCTCTACCTTCTGTTCAGTACTTCTTTTTATAAGTTTGCAAGTTGAAAACATAAATAACACAAATGCAAAAAATAAAAATGAACGCAAACATTTTACAACAGCCCTCATCTTTTTGTAATAGCTCTACCCCTTGTCACTCCCCCTTAGGCTACCCACAATCAAGAGAACATAACTGTTGCTTCCTTCAAAGTACACATTGCTCCAGCCAAAATACATAGAAAACAGCGAAAGGCCATGGAACAGGGCCTGTCAGTAAAGCCAGTAGGGAATTAGAGATGGAGAAATGCAACAGGTCCATCTTCGAAGGTACTCTGGGGAAAACTAGATTTACATGAACATTGACTTTTGTGCCCTTCCCAAGCCCCACTGAAATTTCAGGGAAGGAACTTCTTAAAAATGGTGTTGAGGCAGATTAAACATGTCCACAGATTCTTTCCTCTTCCTTCCATGGAGTCCATTTCGCCTCCCGCATTGACTGAGCTCGTCTGTGACTTACTTGCTTTGACCAGTGGAATGAAACAGAATGGATGCTCATGACCTAGGCCTTAGAAGCCTGGCAATCAAAGCTTTGGGCTTCGTGGGATCCAGGCACCATGTGGTGAAGCAGGATTATTAGATGATAAGAAATCATGGGACAAAAGGAAGGCCCAGCCAACCACTGGCCATTGGCATGTGGGCAGAGCCATTTGGGATGTTTCAGCTGCAGCCTGTCTGCCAAGTGAAGGTACTTGTAAGGGATTCTAGCTGACACACCATGGAGCCGAACACAAATGGTAAAAGCATCAGAAAATAAGAAATTCTTCATTCATATTTTAAGTTACCATTTTTGGGGTGGTTTGTTATGCACTAGACAACTGAAACAAACCTATACCACAAATGTCAGAAATAAACAATAAATCCAAAATATCCTATTTTTAACAACCTCAGAGAAATAGAGAAAGAATTGCAACCATGCAATGCAAATAGGACACTATTAAACACCTATATACACAGAACAAAAAAGTTGCTATTGACATTAACATATGAGAGGAAAAAAACTCAATAGAAAGATTAGAAGAAAAGTCTGAGGAAATCTACTAGAAAACAGAGTAACAGGCAAAGTGATAGAAAATAGGAAAGAAAATAAAAGAAACTGGAGAACCAGTTCAAGAGAGCCAACATTTAAGTCACAGGAGCTCAAAAAAGAGACAAGAGAAAATGAAGATAAGGAAGTAACCATGAAATAATTCTAGGCAAGTGGTGAAATTAATTTAAAAAATCCAGAAACTAGGCAAATAATCATTATAAATATATCACTATTATCTAAAGAGACAGCAAAAGGTTTTATAGAGAAGGAAAAAATAATGACAGCATGCACTAAAGCACCTCTATGAATAGCATGTACATAAGCAAAATCCTGTAAATACCAAGAGCTGGTTTCCTTCCAGTCCTAATGAAACTCTAGTGGAAGGATAGGAGATGAGAAAGATTTGCCAGTGTCACTGGAGCAAGGCTAGGAAGCAAGCAATCCCGTCTTGCAGAGTGGGCAGTCAATATCTTCCTAAAACCGAAGAATCAATAATAAGCAATACATGCATGCTATTTCAAGCTGTGGTGAAGACTGAGATTATTACCTAAAGGAGATGGAAGTTCTTGCCGTGGATGAGGGAAAAACAGCAGGAACGGTGAAGGGGACAGCTTTTAAATTGGTGAAATGTGTGGAACTCTTTGTAAGTCATGTGCACTTACAGCTTTGGTCAAATTTTAGAATTTAAAAGAGAAAAAGAGAAGGCAGGATAGAAGGAAGAGGAAAGGAGGGAGGGGATGAAAAGAAAGGTAGGCAGGAGCTAAATCATTCACGGTGCACATAATCTGATTAACTTTTTAAAATATTGAGAAAGCCTTCTCTAGGGAGGGCTCTGGTTTCTTCATAATCTTGAAGATTTAGATGACAGCTCCTGGAAGAGGACAGCTCAGATGTTCTGGGCTATAGGCCAGAATGTAAACAAATGATTAAACACTCAAGGGCAGCAGTTGGGAAGAACTGCCCCATTTGCCTACTTAAAATGTGTATTCCCCAAGTTGAACCTCTGGAGATTCTGCCTCTCTAGTGTGAGGTGGGCCTGGGGAATTGACATTTTTAACAAGCCCCCTGTTACCTGCCTACTTTGAGTAACCCTGCTCTAAGACAGATTTTAGGAGGTGCAGGGTCACAAATCAGTTCTATTTTCAGTCCTAATTTAATAAGGGAGAAAGTGCTAATTTGGTGTTGATGTGATTCTAACACCCTTGAGCTCCAGGAACCTTCCTCTGCAGCAGGAATCCAGCTGCAGGCAACAGTGTCTGCCTAGAATCGTGTGACAACACTGGTTTTTCGCTGCCCTTATGTTCATTGCCTTCTGCTATGGAAACTGAAACTGACTTTCAATTTACAATAGTGAAAAAAGTTCCCTTTAAAATAAATTCATTTCCCCTTTATAAATTTAAAGGGGAAAAGGAAAATAGCAAAAAAGGAAATACAAGGAGGATTTTAGGGTGAGAAAACAGTAAAATGTTTGAATTTTCTCTTAAGTTCACTGTACTAGGACACATGGATACATACAAAGTTGATTTATATTATGAAAGTAACCTAAAAATTTTAAATACTTTACATATTTGGAAAAGTGTTGTTCTTCCGTATGATTTGCATGATAGATTTAAAATTTGACTTGGCGATGGATAATAATTAAGAAAGGATGGTTTGGGCAAAGGACATTAATAGACATTGCTCCAAAGAAGATATATAAATGGCCAATAAGCACATGAAAAAATGTTCAGCATCATTAGTACCAGGGGAATACAGATCAAAACCACAATGAAATACCATTTTACACCCATTAGAATGGCAATTATCAAATATACAGAAAATTACAAGTGTTGGTGAGGGTGTAGACAAATTAGAACCCTCAAGGATTGCCGATGGTAATATAAAATGGTACGGCCACTGTGGAGACAGTATGGTGGTTCCTCAAAAAATTAAACATAGAGTTACCATATGATCCAGCAATTCCACATCTATGTGTATACCCAAAAGAAATAAACAGATGTCAAACAGATATTTATACACCAATGTTCACAGCAACATTATTCACAATAGTCCAAAAGTGAAAGCAAACCAAATGTCCATTGACAGATGAGTGGATAAACAAAATGTGGTATATCCGTACAATGGAACATTACTCAGCCTTAAAAAAGGAAATTCTGATACATGCTATGACATGGATGGACCTTGGAAACATTACACTGAATGAAATAAGCTACAGACAGAAGGATAAATGTATTATTCCACTTATATGAGGAACCTAGAATAGTCAAATTCAGAAACAGAAAATAGACTAGGGGTTACCAGGGGCTGAGGGAGGAGAGAATACTGGGTTAGTGCCTAAGGGATACAGAGTTTCAGTTTGGGAAGATGAAAAAGTTCTAGAGATGGATGGTGGTGATGGTCGAACAAAATGAATATCTGAGTATTGTGTGGCTACTGTCGGAACTGTACGCTTGCAAATTGTCAAAATGATAACATTTTATGTCATGTGTACTTTACCACAATTTTTAAAAATAAAAAAAATAATGGTTTATAAAATCCAAACTTTTAACCCAGGAACAATATTTTCTACAGCCATAAGGTTTCTCTTCTCTCTGAGGATACAAATTAATATTTTTTTGAAGTTTCTTTTGCATTCTGCATTGTCTATTCTTTCCATTTTGTTTTTTGGCCCTTGTTTTTTAGGTATAAGTCTTCCTTGAAGTTCTGTGATTTTTGGCCGCCCATTCATCTTTCAGAGTGAGAGAAGAAAAGCTGATTGGAAACTATGAACAGGGCTTATCACCCGGTAGGCTCAATTTGGCCATTTCACTGGGGAACCCTATAGGATATTTGGGCTGATCAGCTCCTGTAGAGAGAAGGCTGGGTAGAAGTCTAGCCTTTGGGTGAAGAGTGGAGGTACACACTTGACTGCCAACATACTTGGAGCCATCCAGGGATCGAGGGTGGGGCCCCCAGTGTGCAGTGAGTAGATTTTACACCTCATCCTCCAATCTTAAATGTAGCGTCCCACCCTCAGCTGTGGTTGGTATCCTCAAGACCAGACTCCCTCTAGGTCATCAGAAAATAAATTTCCCATTGTCTGTTAGGTTGGGGAAAGGTGTCTGGCTGGCGATGTGAGGTGCAGGAGGGCGTGTGGGGGAGGAGGGGTCCTAAATGCATCTAATAAAAACTTTGGTCCCATCATTCCTGCTTTCAGTGTCACCTACACTCCACTCTCAGAGCATCTGTCTCCCATTTCCTAAGGCTTTTGGGGATTCTGAGGCGGGAAATGACCAACTTCTGGGCTCTTACCTTTCTCCCATCTTTAAATCAGTCACCAATATTTCCATACTCATTTCCTGTTCTTGTAGGTTTTTGCCTTAAACTTGGCATTTTAGGAAGGTTTCCGGAGGGTAGCTGTAGACATGTGTGTGTTTCACTGGAATTCTATTCCCAGCCACACTTCAGCTCACCCCAGTCTGGCTCCCACCTACAGCACACCGCTGAAACTGCTCTGGGCAAGGCCCCAGACACCAAGGGAGGGTTCTCTCATGCGCCAGGGTATGTTTGCACAGAACTGGGCTAATTTCCTTAATCGTGCCCATTAGCCAATGGCACAAACTCAAAGATCTCCTTGTTCACAGACCCAGTGATCATTTCTCTCTTTTCCTCTTACTTGGCCTCTTAGGAGCATGTGATACATTTGGCCAATTTCTTCTTGGCTTTCCTGAAACACCCCCTCCAGTTTCTCCTTGAACCTCACTGATTTTCACTCCATCTGCCTCCTCTGCATGATTTCCAAATATCAGAGAACCTCGGGGCATGGCTAGCTCCTTGTCTTTTCTCCCCTTCTCTGCTTGGTGATCTCTGCCACACCCACATTGCCAGTGACTCCTTGGCACACACCAACCAGCCCTAAACCTTATGCCCAGCTGTGGTTTCAGCACTTGGAGATCCAATGTGCATCTGAAACTGTATTTCCAAACCAGAGCCCCCAAGTCTGTTATTCCCCTAAAGCCAAAATCCATCCTGGCCCAAGATGGCTCTCTCCTTACTGCATCCCTGTCTTGTTCGCCTTTTTTTGTCTCTCTCTCTCTTGCACTTGATTTTTAACTTCCGAGTGGGCAAAGGCTGGGTCTTGCCTGGCACCAGCAGCTAACATGGCAAGATTACTTCTTGAATGAAATAAAATAATGACTGTAGGCCAAGAAGAGTTGTAGCAAGTGGGGAGGAGGCCCTGCATAGGCTTTTAAAGGCTCAGAAGGCAAAGAAACAAAGAGGGGCATAAATGTAGCCCTGACTCCACTGAAGTGCAGATGTCTTACTGCACCACCGCTGGAGGATCCGGTGCCCCCAACCTCAGGACACCAGTCCCTCCACGTCCCAGCCAGCAGTGCTGAGCTGCCTTCTGCATCCCTCCCTTTCAGTCTCTCAGCCCCGCCCCACGCCTCCCCTCCCCGACCCGGGCCTGCTTTTGGGGGTGGCGATGAGGTTCCTTGGGCACTCGGGAGTGGGCAACAATAATCTGCTTTAATCAGCCAGTAATCAGACCAGGGCCTGGCGAGGTTGGGGCGGGGCAAGTCCCTAGGTGAGCTGGGCTCTGCAGCCTTGCCAGCAGTAGGCAGCCAGACTTGGGTTAGTATCATGACTGAGTACAGGGTGCGGGTGTCCACTGCGGAGGCCTTCGGGGCTGGCACATGGGACAAAATATCTGTCAGCATCGTGGGGACCCAAGGAGAGACCTCCCTACTGCCCCTGGACCATCTGGGCAAAGAGTTCTCCGCGGGCGCGGTGAGTGCTTTGGCGGGTAGGGGCCGAAGGGCAGGAGGAGTAAAAGGGACGGGCGTCGCGGATACTAAGCCTCCCCTCCCCACCACCAGGAGGAGGACTTCGAAGTGACGCCCTCCCAGGACGTGGGCCAGGCACTGCTGCTGCGCGTGCACAAGGCGCCCCCGGCGCTGCCCGGCCTGCTCGGGCACTTGGGCCCGGACGCCTGGCTCTGCCGCTGGTTCCAGCTCACGCCGCCGCGGGGCGACCCCCTCCGCTTCCCCTGCTACCAGTGGCTGGAGGGCGCGGGAACCCTGGTGCTGCGGGAGGGGACAGGTGAGGGGGCTGGTGTGTTGGGGGAAGAGTAAGGGGAGTGGAGAAGGGAGCTGGGGTGGCCGAGGGGGTAGGAGGGCGCTGGGGAGGAGGAGGGGGCAGCCCGATGGGCAGAAACTGTACTTGGTGGGGAGGCACTAGTAGCGGGTGGCTGAAGTGAGTGGCTTGGGCCGGAAGTCAGAGGGGTTCTTAGCGCTCCGCACTCACTCCTCTCCTCTCTCAGCGAAGGTCTCCTGGGCGGACCACCACCCCAGACTCCTGCAGCAGCGCCGGGATGAGCTACAGGCCAGACAGCAGATGTACAGGCGAGGAGAGGGCTGCCGGTGGGGGCGCCCAAGGGCTGAGGGGCAGCCTGGGTGCGCCTGGGACGCTAATGACTGAAGCCCCTGCCAGTCTTCTCTGATCACCCCTGAGCTTGTTAGAAATGCAAATGATCAGAACTCCCAAGTCTGACTCTGAGGGAGGAAGTCCAATACCGAGGTCGGGAGAGCAGTCACATTGTTTCGACAAGCCTTCCAGATGACTCTGGTGTCCAGGAAAGTCTGAAAACCCGTGCTCCAAATGCCTCAGCTTTGCTGGTATCTTCCTGGCCCTGGGGCATTTTCATACATCAGTTTGTTGTGTCATGCTGGAAATATGGACAGAGCTGAAAATACACCACCCCAAATCCCAGGAATCTCTCTCCAGGTTGGGCAAGGGGTGAGGTGGGGGCTCCCCCTCAACTTTGGGCTTTGCGTGGTTGGAGGTCAGCTGGGAGAGTTGGATCCTAGCAGCTGCCCAGGCAGTGGGTGGTGGTTTACAGCACTGCTGGAGCCCCTCGTGAGAATTCCTGAGCAAAAAGCCAGGGGAGGTACTCAGGCACCGATTTCCAAATGATCATAGTTTGGCCAGGCTGGCTGCTGTCTGAAGCCTGGGCACCAGGCTTTTGCTCCAGGTCTCTGGGAACACTGAAGCTGCAGAGTCCTTAGTTCCTGTTGATTATGTATTTGTTTTGAATTATATCCCCAAGAAAACTGTTGCACCGCAGCTGCCAGCAGCAGCCCCAGGGGAGGGAACAGATACGGAGGTCTACTGTGTCCGTGGAATGGTCTTTCTTCCTTTCTTGTCAAAACAAAGACCCACGTGTCAGGAGACCCAGGGCCAGTCTAGTACCTGCTGAAGGGAGCAGTGACATCTGAGGCAAGTCATTTAACAGTTTTGATCCTTATTTTCTTCTGCAAAAGATTAAAATATCAATCTTATTTGTTTTATTAAAAAGAAACCAACGGGAAATGATTAAGAATGAAGCCAGTCAACTGCCAAGCCCTATACAAATGTGTACTGTTATTATTCATATTGTCTCTCAGTTACCTCTGCTCCAACTGCCCAGACCCTCCACACTTAAAGTGAGTTCTCAGATCCAGGGTCAGCATCACCTGGGGACTTGTTAGAAATGCAGGCTCTCCTCTACAGCCATACCACCCTGAACACGCCCACCCGATCTCTGCTGATCTTGGAAGCTGAGTAGGGTCAGGCCTGGTTAGTACCTGGATAGGAGAATGCAGGCTCTTGAGCCCACCCACTCCAGATCTACTAAGTCAGAATCTGCATTTTACCAAGATTCCTAGATAAATCATTTGTACATTAAAGTTTGAGAAGTAGGGTTTGGCCACCACCTGGTACCACTGTGCTTGAATGGCAAATTGTTCTTTGAAGTTGAAAATTCAAACCCAAAGGCAGCGATTGAATGAACCAATGAATGAATGAAAGGAGGACTTGCAGGGGATCCTCAGCTTTGCAGGGGCACTATTTTTCCATTTCACCCAAAGATCTTCAGGCTGAATTGCTTGCTTGATAGAGATGCCCTAGGCCAGGACAGGGTAAATTGCGGAGTGGAGACTGAAAAGTGCCTCCCCGTGGGATGCCTGTCAAAGGCAACTGAAGTCTTGCACTTACTGCCTCAGGAAAGCATCCCATCTGTGAGATGCCTCTGTGTTGGTCAGGAATTTTGTGGTTGCAAGAACAAAAACAGACTCCAACTAGCAAAAAGAAAAAAAGGGAGTGGGGAATGTGTTAACAGGACACAGAGGTACTCACAGAATTGAGGGCTGTAAGTGTAGCCACATCTCATAGGTTAGACACAAAAGTGACTCTCTCCCTCTCTCTGGGGCCCCCTAGATGCTTCTCTCTCCTCCTTCACTTTTCTCTCTCCTCTGCAGAACAGCTTTCTTTAGTTCCCAGTCCACACATCCAAAAATGGCTTTAACAAATAATCCCTGTGCTTACATGTTATAATCCAGATATCTAGAGAGAGGTGGCCTCTCTGGCTCAGCCCCGGTAAAAACAAAATTCATCTGAGTAAATTTAAAGATCTAATTGATTTATTAGATGATTCATGAAACTAGCAGCATCCCATCCAGTGGAGAGAAAGGAGCTCTGAGGAGCTGCACAGAGGGGAAGGCTTTTATAAGGGGAAGGGGGCAGAAAAAGAAAGTTTCTAGCAAAGAGTGGATTGTTTCAGTCAAGGTCACCTTCCTCTGGGGAAAGGCAGGGGTCTATCAGGCAGATTACCTCATGATGCCAACCAAGTAATTCTATATTAACCGGTTAAATGTCACATTCCTGGGAAAGGCTGAAACTGCAATTAGGTTAGATATTCCATCTTGGTTTGTGATGTGGACTGAGCACAAGTGACTCTATTTTGGGCCTACTGTCTCTTTTTTAACAGCCTCAATTCCAATTCCTGGGAAGAACTCTGGTTACCAGCTCTGGTCAGGTGCCCAGCCCTTAACCAATCAACTGTGACCAGGGGAGAGGTCTCACTGTGGGAATAGGACAGTTCCCCTTGCAGCCTTGTGGGTGCAGGGGAAGGCCAGAGCCCCAGAAGGCCCTTGCTTGTAGAAGGGCGCTGGCTCTGACCAGGGCCTCCAAAGGACTTGCCACTCCCTCCATCCTAGTCAGTGGGTTCCTTGAGGCTTCTTGCTGATGGCCTTCCTGCTCCTCCCTCCAGCTGGAAGACTTACAACTCAGGCTGGCCTCGCTGCCTGGATGAGGAGACTACAAAAGACTTAGACCTCAACATTAAATACTCTGTAGCCAAGAACACCAACTTCTACCTGCGAGCCGGCTCTGCGTAAGGACACCTGCCCTCTCCTCTCTCTGGGGCTCGGGTACCCTGGGCCCTCTGCCTTCTGTCCTTCCCTCCTCAGCTTCCTGACCATCAGGGATATGGATCACACAGCCGTACCCAGAGCACTGTATCTGCCCATGGCTAGTCCCCATGGGGCACAGGCTACCTCAGGAGCTGGAAGCTGGTTCAGGATCCCTGGAGGGATAAGGCTACCAGATGGGGGGTGGATCTCCTAGGGCCTCTTGCCCCCTCCCCACCCTTCACATCTCCTGGCAGATTTACAGAAATGAAAATCAAGGGGCTGCTGGACCGCAAGGGGCTCTGGAAGAGTCTGGAGGAGATGAGAGGGATATTCCACTTCCAGAAGACCCCGGCCACTGGTGAGGAGCTCAGGCTGGGCCTCCTGACCTCTTCCCTGGGATATCATCTCTCATAGCTGCCAGGAGTCTCAGAAAACCAAGCACCAATTCACTGTGGGACCCTGGCAGACCCCTGTCCCTCGCTAGGCCCTACTTTCTCCACAGCTACACCAAAGGATACAGACTAGGGGCATCCTTCTAACCTTCTAATGCCTTTCAATCCAAGAGACACTTGCTGGCTACTACACATCAGGCACTGGGCTGGGGCTGTGGACACAGTCCTCATCCCCACAGGACTCATGCCTGACATTAGACTCAAAATCAAAAAAGAGTGTCCCTTGTGAACCCCACTTGTTGGCTCCAGTGAGAGTGTATAAAAGGGGACCTGCTCAAAAGGAGGTGACATTTATGCTGAGACCTCAAAGTTGAGTAGGTATTAACAGTGCCAAGAATAGGATGTGGTGGCAAAAAGTGTTTCCAGTTCAGGAGACAGTGAATGTGAAGGTTCTGAAGATGGAAAGATCAGAGACCTTTTGGGGATAAAAGCACTCTGCTGTGGCCAAAGGATGTTGAGCCAGGGAAGGAAGATAAGGGACAAAGCAGGAGAGGTGCATGGGACCTGGGTCGGGCAGGACTGTGTAGGCCATGGCAGGAACTGGGGCTTTCCCTAAGTGCAGTGAGAAGTAATATGGCCAGACTGACTGGCTGCCAGCCGGGGAGTAATATAGCCAGATGTGCTCTATGGACTGTGGGGTGTTGGGGGACAAGAGTGGAAGGCAGAAGACCAGTTCTGAGGCTCTGGTGGGCGTCAGCAGTGGGAGGGGAACTACCAGGCAGTAACAGCAGAGATGGATGGACAGGTGGACCAGGAGCTACTCAAGGTGCAGAATCAATGGGACTTGATGGGAAGAGGAGGTTGGGGGAGCTGCCAGGAGAGGTCCCTAGATTCTGCCACAGCAACGGGTGGATGGAGGTGCCATTCCCCAGATGCCAAGCCGTTGGAGGGGCTGGGCTGTGGGCGTTCAGTCTCTGATGTGCTGTATTTGAGGCTGGTAAGCCCTGGGGTTAGGATGTCTGTTAGATGGTGGGACAGGCGGGCTCGGGACTAAGATAATGCTGTTTGGTAAACAGGCAGTGACTGAAGCAAAGGGTTGGGAGTAGGTCAGCCTGAGAAAGGCATAGAGTGAGAAAAAAGGAGCCTAGGACAGACTCAGGAGCAGCCCCACCATGAAGTTCAGGGGGAGACCTATGGACACTGGGGTAACCTGGTCCTCCTCTCCCCACCCTCCTGTAGAATACGTGTTTGAGCACTGGCAGGAGGACTCATTCTTCGCCTCCCAGTTCCTGAATGGCCTCAACCCTGTCTTGATCCGCCGCTGTCGTGAGCTCCCAAAGAACTTCCCTGTTACGAATGCCATGGTGGCCCCAGTGTTGGGCACTGGGACCACTCTGCAGACTGAGCTGGAGGTGAGGGGTGCAGGGGTCCAGGCTCTGCATGCCCCGTCTCAGTGCCTTCAGGCCTATTACTCATCAGAGAGGACCATCACTCACATTTGTTAAGAGCCTCCTGTGTGCTGTGTGCCAAGAACACCCTCTCCCTTTCCCAGCCCTCAATCCTCTCCCTGCTCCACCCACTCAGTCCTTTAGAAAGCCAAATGGTAGCCCTGGCTCCCCTTCTCTATCCTGCAGAAGGGCTCCCTGTTCCTGGTAGATCACGGCATTCTCTCTGGCATCCAAACCAATATCGTTAATGGGAAGCCTCAGTTCTCAGCGGCCCCAATGACTCTGCTATACCAGCGCCCAGGGGGAGGGCCCCTGTTGCCCATCGCCATCCAGGTCAGCAGCAATTGGGGTAGGGCAGGGGAGGGGAGGCATCTGAATGAGTAGTTGGCAGAAACCCGTGACCACCTGTCCACACTGGCTTCTCCTACAGCTCAACCAGACCCCAGGGCCTAACAGCCCCATCTTCCTGCCCAGCGATGACAAGTGGGACTGGCTATTGGCCAAGACATGGGTGCGCAATGCTGAGTTCTCAGTCCATGAGGCCCTTGTACACCTGTTGCATGCACACCTGCTGCCTGAGGTTTTCGCCATGGCTACGCTGCGCCAGCTGCCCCACTGCCACCCACTGTTCAAGGTCAGTGGCTCGGCAAGGCAGCTGAAACTGTGTCCCAAGCTGCGGGTCCCTGCACCTGGGCCTGCCCCTCGGGGTGCCTCTTCTAAGCACCCACATAGCCCTGCCCTTCCAGGCGGGGATGCAGAGCCCCCATCCTGCTTCAGAAGCACCTCCCTGCTCAACTCCCCTGGGAGCCTGCTTCCCAGCAGGCCAGCCGCTGGGGTGAGGTGAAGGGAACTGGGCAAGGGAGGGGCCCACACGTGAGAGCACGCTGTGCTCCCTAGAGGCTCCCTTCTTAAGGGAGATCAGACCAACAGCCAACAACCATCACAGATGCCCGGTTCTCAGGAGAGTCCTGGGGCTGGCAGATGCCAAAGTGTGGAGGGACCAATAGGTCTTCTTGCAGGCAGCTGCAGGGATGAATGAGCCCTGAAAGGTTGACCTGTGTCTCTAAGGTGGGCTCTCTGGTCCCCTGGGCTCTGCTAAACCTTCTGATGACCCAGATTCATTTCCTCCAGGTACCTGAGATATCTTTGAAGGGCAGGATTCCCACCTCCCCCAGACCCAGTGCAGGACCCACAGCTGCTCAGATTCTCTGATTCTTGTTTAGACAGTTTTCTGGGTCTGAGACAGGCCCTATTCTGTCTCCTTCACCCCAGGCTGACTCTTTCTGACCATCTGTAGTTCCCAGTCGTGGAACTCAGAAGTGGGTTCTCAGAGATGGTTCCACACTGCCAGGCCCACAGGCCACCCTGGTTTTCATGGGGCTTTGCCTGCCCAAGGGTCAAGAAATCACCAGATACCAGAGCTGGAGGGCTCAGAGTGCTCAGCCAGACCAGCCCCCTCAGTCGCCCAATGATCTGCTGCTCAGAGAGAGGAAGGTGCATGCCTGAGGTCACAGAACAAGATGCTGGTGGAGCCCTGCTCCTGTCATTGTCTGGACCTCTCATCCTTGTCCCCAGCTGCCCCTCTTGTCCCTGTCACCTCTTTCCATGAGTGATTTACAGGACTGGATGCCTCTGAAGGGGGAGCTCTGGGGCCAGAGAGACCCAGGCCTCCCCCGCCTCTGCCATCTCTGGCCCTCACAGCTGCTGGTCCCGCACACGCGGTACACCCTGCATATCAATACTCTGGCCCGCCAGCTGCTCATCGCCCCTGAGCAGGTGGTAGACAGGGTAAGAACTGCCTTTGGGAGGATAGGGGTGCAATGTGCATATAATTTGGGGTCCTGGGGTGGGAGTGGCCCTGTCTGCCCCACCAGTACTACCTCCTGCTTCTGGGGCAAGGGCTCTGGTGCCCAGGAGTCCTGTCTCCTAGTCCACAGGCATTGGCATCAAAGGCTTCTCTGAGTTGATACAGAGGAACATGGAAAAGCTCAACTATTCGGTCCTGTGTCTGCCCGAGGATATCCAGGCCCGAGGAGTCGAAGCTATCCTGGGCTACTACTACAGGGATGATGGGATGAAGATCTGGGGTGCTGTGGAGTGGTGAGGCACTGTCCCCGGAGATATGGGGGGTTGCGAGAGGCAAGAAGACTGGGAGGGAGAGGGAGGGGCCAGGGAGGCCCATGACAAGGAAGAGGGCTGGACATTAATGACACTGAGCAGGGCTGCTCCCCAGAGAGGGTCGGGGTTGAAAGTTGGTACTGAACCCAGCACACCTTGCAGCTTTGTCTCTGAAATAGTTGGCTTCTACTACCCAAATGATGTGTCTGTGCGTGATGACAGTGAGCTCCAGGCCTGGGTGTGGGAGATCTTCTCTGAAGGCTTCCTAGGCCGGGACAGCTCAGGTACAGGGACCTCGGCCCTTGGTTCCCCCCCCTCAGATCTCTGCAGCATGGTCCTCAGGACCCTAGTAGCCCCAGCCCTGGCCCAACTCTCCCCACAGGTGTGCCCTCCTCACTGGTGACCCAGGAAGCCCTGGTGCAGTATGTCACCATGGTGATATTCAACTGCTCTGCCCAGCATGCTGCTGTCAGTTCAGGCCAGGTGAGAAGGGTCAGTGCCAGGGTGGCAGGTGGCAGGGCCTGGCTCCCAGGCCTCACTCTGCCCTGTCCGCCTTCAGTTTGACTTCTCTGCCTGGATGCCCAACCTGCCATCCACCATGCAGCTGCCACCGCCCACCACCAAGGGCCAGGCAAGGCTGGAAGGATTCATAGCCACTCTCCCCCCAGTCAATGCCACATGTGATATCATCATTGTCCTCTGGCTGCTGAGCAAGGAGCCTGGAGACCGAGTGAGTGTGGGGCTGGGAGTCAGGCCAGGCCACCTGGGGAATATGGGAGGGAGTGTTGTTTCCCCTCCCTAGCCCAGAGCCTCTTTCACCATCAAGGAGCCAGGTCCCTTCACACCACTAAACCTTCCCAAGGGAACACATGAGCTCTGGAGGGTCAAATGGCCAAATGAGGTGATGCAATCTCACCCTTAACTGCAAGGACAATGTGTGGTTGTACTCCAGATTGGCTGCCCCCTTCAAAACTCCAGCTTAACATTCAGTACCCAAAAGCAACCTACAGTCATCTTCACCATTCAGGGGGAGGGAGTAGCTCTGTGGGAGGCTGCTTTGGGTCCCCCAGGGCAGAGATCTAGGGCAGGTCAGAGCTTCTCAGCAGCCTCTTCACCCAAATCTGTGGTTGGTTCCCAGCGGCCCCTGGGCACCTACCCCGATGAGCACTTCACAGAGGAGGCCCCGCAGCAGAGCATTGCTGCCTTCCAGAGCCGCCTGACCCAGATCTCGAGAGACATCCAAGAACGGAACCGGGGCCTGGCCCTGCCCTACACTTACCTGGACCCTTCCCTCATCGAGAACAGCGTCTCCATCTAAATCCCCTGGAGAATAGTGCCCCATATGATATCCCTTTGACCCCATCACTCTAGTCTAACTGCCACCCAGAGAAAAGAATCCCCCAGAAAACCAGGCCCCCATAGGTCTCTTCTGGAACAACCAGGCCCCATAACAAGCCCTACAGATGAAATAACAGGAACAAATCACCCCAGGGAACAGAGACTCACGGCACAGCACCACCACGCCTTTTGAAGACTTCAGGCCTCAAAATGCCAGCACACCCACAGCCCCTATGAAGGACTGACTGTCTCTCTTTCGCTTTGCATTTTTTGCATTGTTTTACCTTACATAATCCGGCCCCTGATGCACTGACCACAACTGATTGGACCTAATAGTCACCTGACAAAAAGGGAGCCCTATTACAGACAGACTGCTGAAGAGGTGGATCATGACCTTTGGTTTAAAATAACCCACTGAATCTGTGGCATCTTGCTGCACTGACGGACAGTGACTGCACTGGGGTATGGATGGGGACTTGATAATATGGGTAAATGTAGTAACCACATTGTTTTTTCATGTGAAACCTTCATAAGTGCATATCAATCATACCTTAATAAAAATTTTAATTAATTAATTCATTCATTCATTCAATTAAATAACCCACTGAGAAAGGACCACTGGAGCAAAACAGGAGGGCACTCTGCCTGCAGCGTGCAGACAGGATCCATGTATGCTTTCTTAAAACTTTCCCCCAGTTGGACAAGAGGCTTGCATATTATAAAGCAGATTCCATTTCCAGAGGATTAGAAAATAATGTATCACCAATCATATGTTGCCTTCTAGATTCAGTCCCCAGTGATGGAATTCCAACATACACATTCTTTAATTCTGTTTTCCTTTTGTCTTGTTCCAACTCAATGAACATCCACTAAGGCCAAAAATGTGTCCCTTTGTATTCCCCTAATGATTTCTGTCTCTGTCTCATATGGCAGGTGTCAGTGCTTCGGTTTTTCAGCTTCACTAATTTTTATAAAACCATGTAGACAAAATGCAATATATAAATTGCACAAACACCATCACTGAAATAAATAGTACGGTGCTTCAGAAAATGCAGTGTTGACCAGTCGGCAGCACCTGAACTGTTCATTCTTTATTGAGAAGGAGTGTACCAAAGATATGTGGTTGCTAAACATTGGTTTCAATCAATAAAAACAATTCCTGCTAACCAAGCAATAAAGGAGTTTATGGGAAAGAAACTGAACTAATTTAGTCAGTGACATCTGAGGCAAGTCATTTAACAGTTTTGATCCTTATTTTCTTCTGCAAAAGATTAAAATATCAATCTTATTTGTTTTATTAAAAAGAAACCAACGGGAAATGATTAAGAATGAAGCCAGTCAACTGCCAAGCCCTATACAAATGTGTACTGTTATTATTCATATTGTCTCTCAGTTACCTCTGCTCCAACTGCCCAGACCCTCCACACTTAAAGTGAGTTCTCAGATCCAGGGTCAGCATCACCTGGGGACTTGTTAGAAATGCAGGCTCTCCTCTACAGCCATACCACCCTGAACACGCCCACCCGATCTCTGCTGATCTTGGAAGCTGAGTAGGGTCAGGCCTGGTTAGTACCTGGATAGGAGAATGCAGGCTCTTGAGCCCACCCACTCCAGATCTACTAAGTCAGAATCTGCATTTTACCAAGATTCCTAGATAAATCATTTGTACATTAAAGTTTGAGAAGTAGGGTTTGGCCACCACCTGGTACCACTGTGCTTGAATGGCAAATTGTTCTTTGAAGTTGAAAATTCAAACCCAAAGGCAGCGATTGAATGAACCAATGAATGAATGAAAGGAGGACTTGCAGGGGATCCTCAGCTTTGCAGGGGCACTATTTTTCCATTTCACCCAAAGATCTTCAGGCTGAATTGCTTGCTTGATAGAGATGCCCTAGGCCAGGACAGGGTAAATTGCGGAGTGGAGACTGAAAAGTGCCTCCCCGTGGGATGCCTGTCAAAGGCAACTGAAGTCTTGCACTTACTGCCTCAGGAAAGCATCCCATCTGTGAGATGCCTCTGTGTTGGTCAGGAATTTTGTGGTTGCAAGAACAAAAACAGACTCCAACTAGCAAAAAGAAAAAAAGGGAGTGGGGAATGTGTTAACAGGACACAGAGGTACTCACAGAATTGAGGGCTGTAAGTGTAGCCACATCTCATAGGTTAGACACAAAAGTGACTCTCTCCCTCTCTCTGGGGCCCCCTAGATGCTTCTCTCTCCTCCTTCACTTTTCTCTCTCCTCTGCAGAACAGCTTTCTTTAGTTCCCAGTCCACACATCCAAAAATGGCTTTAACAAATAATCCCTGTGCTTACATGTTATAATCCAGATATCTAGAGAGAGGTGGCCTCTCTGGCTCAGCCCCGGTAAAAACAAAATTCATCTGAGTAAATTTAAAGATCTAATTGATTTATTAGATGATTCATGAAACTAGCAGCATCCCATCCAGTGGAGAGAAAGGAGCTCTGAGGAGCTGCACAGAGGGGAAGGCTTTTATAAGGGGAAGGGGGCAGAAAAAGAAAGTTTCTAGCAAAGAGTGGATTGTTTCAGTCAAGGTCACCTTCCTCTGGGGAAAGGCAGGGGTCTATCAGGCAGATTACCTCATGATGCCAACCAAGTAATTCTATATTAACCGGTTAAATGTCACATTCCTGGGAAAGGCTGAAACTGCAATTAGGTTAGATATTCCATCTTGGTTTGTGATGTGGACTGAGCACAAGTGACTCTATTTTGGGCCTACTGTCTCTTTTTTAACAGCCTCAATTCCAATTCCTGGGAAGAACTCTGGTTACCAGCTCTGGTCAGGTGCCCAGCCCTTAACCAATCAACTGTGACCAGGGGAGAGGTCTCACTGTGGGAATAGGACAGTTCCCCTTGCAGCCTTGTGGGTGCAGGGGAAGGCCAGAGCCCCAGAAGGCCCTTGCTTGTAGAAGGGCGCTGGCTCTGACCAGGGCCTCCAAAGGACTTGCCACTCCCTCCATCCTAGTCAGTGGGTTCCTTGAGGCTTCTTGCTGATGGCCTTCCTGCTCCTCCCTCCAGCTGGAAGACTTACAACTCAGGCTGGCCTCGCTGCCTGGATGAGGAGACTACAAAAGACTTAGACCTCAACATTAAATACTCTGTAGCCAAGAACACCAACTTCTACCTGCGAGCCGGCTCTGCGTAAGGACACCTGCCCTCTCCTCTCTCTGGGGCTCGGGTACCCTGGGCCCTCTGCCTTCTGTCCTTCCCTCCTCAGCTTCCTGACCATCAGGGATATGGATCACACAGCCGTACCCAGAGCACTGTATCTGCCCATGGCTAGTCCCCATGGGGCACAGGCTACCTCAGGAGCTGGAAGCTGGTTCAGGATCCCTGGAGGGATAAGGCTACCAGATGGGGGGTGGATCTCCTAGGGCCTCTTGCCCCCTCCCCACCCTTCACATCTCCTGGCAGATTTACAGAAATGAAAATCAAGGGGCTGCTGGACCGCAAGGGGCTCTGGAAGAGTCTGGAGGAGATGAGAGGGATATTCCACTTCCAGAAGACCCCGGCCACTGGTGAGGAGCTCAGGCTGGGCCTCCTGACCTCTTCCCTGGGATATCATCTCTCATAGCTGCCAGGAGTCTCAGAAAACCAAGCACCAATTCACTGTGGGACCCTGGCAGACCCCTGTCCCTCGCTAGGCCCTACTTTCTCCACAGCTACACCAAAGGATACAGACTAGGGGCATCCTTCTAACCTTCTAATGCCTTTCAATCCAAGAGACACTTGCTGGCTACTACACATCAGGCACTGGGCTGGGGCTGTGGACACAGTCCTCATCCCCACAGGACTCATGCCTGACATTAGACTCAAAATCAAAAAAGAGTGTCCCTTGTGAACCCCACTTGTTGGCTCCAGTGAGAGTGTATAAAAGGGGACCTGCTCAAAAGGAGGTGACATTTATGCTGAGACCTCAAAGTTGAGTAGGTATTAACAGTGCCAAGAATAGGATGTGGTGGCAAAAAGTGTTTCCAGTTCAGGAGACAGTGAATGTGAAGGTTCTGAAGATGGAAAGATCAGAGACCTTTTGGGGATAAAAGCACTCTGCTGTGGCCAAAGGATGTTGAGCCAGGGAAGGAAGATAAGGGACAAAGCAGGAGAGGTGCATGGGACCTGGGTCGGGCAGGACTGTGTAGGCCATGGCAGGAACTGGGGCTTTCCCTAAGTGCAGTGAGAAGTAATATGGCCAGACTGACTGGCTGCCAGCCGGGGAGTAATATAGCCAGATGTGCTCTATGGACTGTGGGGTGTTGGGGGACAAGAGTGGAAGGCAGAAGACCAGTTCTGAGGCTCTGGTGGGCGTCAGCAGTGGGAGGGGAACTACCAGGCAGTAACAGCAGAGATGGATGGACAGGTGGACCAGGAGCTACTCAAGGTGCAGAATCAATGGGACTTGATGGGAAGAGGAGGTTGGGGGAGCTGCCAGGAGAGGTCCCTAGATTCTGCCACAGCAACGGGTGGATGGAGGTGCCATTCCCCAGATGCCAAGCCGTTGGAGGGGCTGGGCTGTGGGCGTTCAGTCTCTGATGTGCTGTATTTGAGGCTGGTAAGCCCTGGGGTTAGGATGTCTGTTAGATGGTGGGACAGGCGGGCTCGGGACTAAGATAATGCTGTTTGGTAAACAGGCAGTGACTGAAGCAAAGGGTTGGGAGTAGGTCAGCCTGAGAAAGGCATAGAGTGAGAAAAAAGGAGCCTAGGACAGACTCAGGAGCAGCCCCACCATGAAGTTCAGGGGGAGACCTATGGACACTGGGGTAACCTGGTCCTCCTCTCCCCACCCTCCTGTAGAATACGTGTTTGAGCACTGGCAGGAGGACTCATTCTTCGCCTCCCAGTTCCTGAATGGCCTCAACCCTGTCTTGATCCGCCGCTGTCGTGAGCTCCCAAAGAACTTCCCTGTTACGAATGCCATGGTGGCCCCAGTGTTGGGCACTGGGACCACTCTGCAGACTGAGCTGGAGGTGAGGGGTGCAGGGGTCCAGGCTCTGCATGCCCCGTCTCAGTGCCTTCAGGCCTATTACTCATCAGAGAGGACCATCACTCACATTTGTTAAGAGCCTCCTGTGTGCTGTGTGCCAAGAACACCCTCTCCCTTTCCCAGCCCTCAATCCTCTCCCTGCTCCACCCACTCAGTCCTTTAGAAAGCCAAATGGTAGCCCTGGCTCCCCTTCTCTATCCTGCAGAAGGGCTCCCTGTTCCTGGTAGATCACGGCATTCTCTCTGGCATCCAAACCAATATCGTTAATGGGAAGCCTCAGTTCTCAGCGGCCCCAATGACTCTGCTATACCAGCGCCCAGGGGGAGGGCCCCTGTTGCCCATCGCCATCCAGGTCAGCAGCAATTGGGGTAGGGCAGGGGAGGGGAGGCATCTGAATGAGTAGTTGGCAGAAACCCGTGACCACCTGTCCACACTGGCTTCTCCTACAGCTCAACCAGACCCCAGGGCCTAACAGCCCCATCTTCCTGCCCAGCGATGACAAGTGGGACTGGCTATTGGCCAAGACATGGGTGCGCAATGCTGAGTTCTCAGTCCATGAGGCCCTTGTACACCTGTTGCATGCACACCTGCTGCCTGAGGTTTTCGCCATGGCTACGCTGCGCCAGCTGCCCCACTGCCACCCACTGTTCAAGGTCAGTGGCTCGGCAAGGCAGCTGAAACTGTGTCCCAAGCTGCGGGTCCCTGCACCTGGGCCTGCCCCTCGGGGTGCCTCTTCTAAGCACCCACATAGCCCTGCCCTTCCAGGCGGGGATGCAGAGCCCCCATCCTGCTTCAGAAGCACCTCCCTGCTCAACTCCCCTGGGAGCCTGCTTCCCAGCAGGCCAGCCGCTGGGGTGAGGTGAAGGGAACTGGGCAAGGGAGGGGCCCACACGTGAGAGCACGCTGTGCTCCCTAGAGGCTCCCTTCTTAAGGGAGATCAGACCAACAGCCAACAACCATCACAGATGCCCGGTTCTCAGGAGAGTCCTGGGGCTGGCAGATGCCAAAGTGTGGAGGGACCAATAGGTCTTCTTGCAGGCAGCTGCAGGGATGAATGAGCCCTGAAAGGTTGACCTGTGTCTCTAAGGTGGGCTCTCTGGTCCCCTGGGCTCTGCTAAACCTTCTGATGACCCAGATTCATTTCCTCCAGGTACCTGAGATATCTTTGAAGGGCAGGATTCCCACCTCCCCCAGACCCAGTGCAGGACCCACAGCTGCTCAGATTCTCTGATTCTTGTTTAGACAGTTTTCTGGGTCTGAGACAGGCCCTATTCTGTCTCCTTCACCCCAGGCTGACTCTTTCTGACCATCTGTAGTTCCCAGTCGTGGAACTCAGAAGTGGGTTCTCAGAGATGGTTCCACACTGCCAGGCCCACAGGCCACCCTGGTTTTCATGGGGCTTTGCCTGCCCAAGGGTCAAGAAATCACCAGATACCAGAGCTGGAGGGCTCAGAGTGCTCAGCCAGACCAGCCCCCTCAGTCGCCCAATGATCTGCTGCTCAGAGAGAGGAAGGTGCATGCCTGAGGTCACAGAACAAGATGCTGGTGGAGCCCTGCTCCTGTCATTGTCTGGACCTCTCATCCTTGTCCCCAGCTGCCCCTCTTGTCCCTGTCACCTCTTTCCATGAGTGATTTACAGGACTGGATGCCTCTGAAGGGGGAGCTCTGGGGCCAGAGAGACCCAGGCCTCCCCCGCCTCTGCCATCTCTGGCCCTCACAGCTGCTGGTCCCGCACACGCGGTACACCCTGCATATCAATACTCTGGCCCGCCAGCTGCTCATCGCCCCTGAGCAGGTGGTAGACAGGGTAAGAACTGCCTTTGGGAGGATAGGGGTGCAATGTGCATATAATTTGGGGTCCTGGGGTGGGAGTGGCCCTGTCTGCCCCACCAGTACTACCTCCTGCTTCTGGGGCAAGGGCTCTGGTGCCCAGGAGTCCTGTCTCCTAGTCCACAGGCATTGGCATCAAAGGCTTCTCTGAGTTGATACAGAGGAACATGGAAAAGCTCAACTATTCGGTCCTGTGTCTGCCCGAGGATATCCAGGCCCGAGGAGTCGAAGCTATCCTGGGCTACTACTACAGGGATGATGGGATGAAGATCTGGGGTGCTGTGGAGTGGTGAGGCACTGTCCCCGGAGATATGGGGGGTTGCGAGAGGCAAGAAGACTGGGAGGGAGAGGGAGGGGCCAGGGAGGCCCATGACAAGGAAGAGGGCTGGACATTAATGACACTGAGCAGGGCTGCTCCCCAGAGAGGGTCGGGGTTGAAAGTTGGTACTGAACCCAGCACACCTTGCAGCTTTGTCTCTGAAATAGTTGGCTTCTACTACCCAAATGATGTGTCTGTGCGTGATGACAGTGAGCTCCAGGCCTGGGTGTGGGAGATCTTCTCTGAAGGCTTCCTAGGCCGGGACAGCTCAGGTACAGGGACCTCGGCCCTTGGTTCCCCCCCCTCAGATCTCTGCAGCATGGTCCTCAGGACCCTAGTAGCCCCAGCCCTGGCCCAACTCTCCCCACAGGTGTGCCCTCCTCACTGGTGACCCAGGAAGCCCTGGTGCAGTATGTCACCATGGTGATATTCAACTGCTCTGCCCAGCATGCTGCTGTCAGTTCAGGCCAGGTGAGAAGGGTCAGTGCCAGGGTGGCAGGTGGCAGGGCCTAGCTCCCAGGCCTCACTCTGCCCTGTCCGCCTTCAGTTTGACTTCTCTGCCTGGATGCCCAACCTGCCATCCACCATGCAGCTGCCACCGCCCACCACCAAGGGCCAGGCAAGGCTGGAAGGATTCATAGCCACTCTCCCCCCAGTCAATGCCACATGTGATATCATCATTGTCCTCTGGCTGCTGAGCAAGGAGCCTGGAGACCGAGTGAGTGTGGGGCTGGGAGTCAGGCCAGGCCACCTGGGGAATATGGGAGGGAGTGTTGTTTCCCCTCCCTAGCCCAGAGCCTCTTTCACCATCAAGGAGCCAGGTCCCTTCACACCACTAAACCTTCCCAAGGGAACACATGAGCTCTGGAGGGTCAAATGGCCAAATGAGGTGATGCAATCTCACCCTTAACTGCAAGGACAATGTGTGGTTGTACTCCAGATTGGCTGCCCCCTTCAAAACTCCAGCTTAACATTCAGTACCCAAAAGCAACCTACAGTCATCTTCACCATTCAGGGGGAGGGAGTAGCTCTGTGGGAGGCTGCTTTGGGTCCCCCAGGGCAGAGATCTAGGGCAGGTCAGAGCTTCTCAGCAGCCTCTTCACCCAAATCTGTGGTTGGTTCCCAGCGGCCCCTGGGCACCTACCCCGATGAGCACTTCACAGAGGAGGCCCCGCAGCAGAGCATTGCTGCCTTCCAGAGCCGCCTGACCCAGATCTCGAGAGACATCCAAGAACGGAACCGGGGCCTGGCCCTGCCCTACACTTACCTGGACCCTTCCCTCATCGAGAACAGCGTCTCCATCTAAATCCCCTGGAGAATAGTGCCCCATATGATATCCCTTTGACCCCATCACTCTAGTCTAACTGCCACCCAGAGAAAAGAATCCCCCAGAAAACCAGGCCCCCATAGGTCTCTTCTGGAACAACCAGGCCCCATAACAAGCCCTACAGATGAAATAACAGGAACAAATCACCCCAGGGAACAGAGACTCACGGCACAGCACCACCACGCCTTTTGAAGACTTCAGGCCTCAAAATGCCAGCACACCCACAGCCCCTATGAAGGACTGACTGTCTCTCTTTCGCTTTGCATTTTTTGCATTGTTTTACCTTACATAATCCGGCCCCTGATGCACTGACCACAACTGATTGGACCTAATAGTCACCTGACAAAAAGGGAGCCCTATTACAGACAGACTGCTGAAGAGGTGGATCATGACCTTTGGTTTAAAATAACCCACTGAATCTGTGGCATCTTGCTGCACTGACGGACAGTGACTGCACTGGGGTATGGATGGGGACTTGATAATATGGGTAAATGTAGTAACCACATTGTTTTTTCATGTGAAACCTTCATAAGTGCATATCAATCATACCTTAATAAAAATTTTAATTAATTAATTCATTCATTCATTCAATTAAATAACCCACTGAGAAAGGACCACTGGAGCAAAACAGGAGGGCACTCTGCCTGCAGCGTGCAGACAGGATCCATGTATGCTTTCTTAAAACTTTCCCCCAGTTGGACAAGAGGCTTGCATATTATAAAGCAGATTCCATTTCCAGAGGATTAGAAAATAATGTATCACCAATCATATGTTGCCTTCTAGATTCAGTCCCCAGTGATGGAATTCCAACATACACATTCTTTAATTCTGTTTTCCTTTTGTCTTGTTCCAACTCAATGAACATCCACTAAGGCCAAAAATGTGTCCCTTTGTATTCCCCTAATGATTTCTGTCTCTGTCTCATATGGCAGGTGTCAGTGCTTCGGTTTTTCAGCTTCACTAATTTTTATAAAACCATGTAGACAAAATGCAATATATAAATTGCACAAACACCATCACTGAAATAAATAGTACGGTGCTTCAGAAAATGCAGTGTTGACCAGTCGGCAGCACCTGAACTGTTCATTCTTTATTGAGAAGGAGTGTACCAAAGATATGTGGTTGCTAAACATTGGTTTCAATCAATAAAAACAATTCCTGCTAACCAAGCAATAAAGGAGTTTATGGGAAAGAAACTGAACTAATTTAGGGATTAAAGACAGTAAGAGTTAAAATGGAGGACTTAAAGAACAGATTAAACACAGTAAGAGTTAAACACAGTGTTTGGGCAGGACCGGAAACTCAGGAAGTCCTGGGCACAGGAACCGGGGGACATTCTCAGGCACTGCCCTCAGAATGACGAAGCTCCTACACTTCTTGTCCTTGAATTATTTACCTCCATGTTCACATTTCGTGAGGGAGAGCCTGACTTGACTTGGAATGGCAGAAACCACTGGTTGCTGTGGTAGGAAGAGTTTGTGCTCACCAAACATCTCAGCTACTTCCCAACATTTCCCAGTCTCCCTTTTAGTTAGGTTGGGGGCATATGACCAGTTCTGGCCAATGGAATGCGAGAGAGGAAGCAACGTATGTCACTTCCAAGATGAGGCAGTTGAAAGCTGGTGTGCCTCTTCATCCTTCTCTTGCCCTTGGAGGAAGGTTCTAGAAGCCATGAGCCCTGTCCTTCCCTCTCTTACTAGGCTGCAAACTCACGAGGACACGGTTCACAGCAGCTGTCCACCAGTGTCGGGCGCCCTATAGGTGCTCAATCAGTAGGTGCTGAATGGAGAATTAATACACAAATGATTCCTAAAACTCCTCTGTGCCCTTTTCCATTTACCTGTGTGTGTCCTCAACTAGCCCATGAGTCTCTTGATGGCAGGAACTGGGCCTCATTCTACTTTATATGCCTGGTGCCCAGCACTGACACATGAGAGATACCCAACAAATGCTTGTTTAATAATGGATAAAAGAAAAGAATGATTGAATGGATGGATGAATGGGTGGATGGATGAACTAGTAAGTTGGAGGGCAGTCGTGCCCCAGTCAATAAATTGATTGGTACTTGCTTCAATATATGTCTTTTGGGACCAACTATCGTCTCCTAGAGAAACTGGAGAGTGCAGGGCAGCTCAGCAATGGAAATCTGAGCACTCAGTCTCCAATCCTTGTTGGAGAGGCCACCACCACTTCCAAGGCCCAGGCACCTAAGCCCCTCTGATTGGCTCTCTCTCTTTGTCTGTCTTTCCGTCTCTCTGTCTCTCTTATGTGTACACACACACACACACACACACACACACACACACACACAGACCTAGTCCTTGGGCTTTTGGCTGTATGGCCTTGAGAAGAGAAGGTTGTCACAGTTAACCTTCACCCTGTAGGGGATATCATTAACTCTTCAGAGCGATGGTCCCCTTGGCCTAGGGTGGGGACTTCCTCATGGACAATGAGGCATTGGGCATCCAGGCCCCAAAGTCATGCTCTGAAGACCCCTGTCCCAATTGGGTTTGCTGGCCAGAGGGAGAGGACCAAATCCCTCCACAACTCCAGACTCCTGCCTCCACAACCCCAGATCTTTCAGTTAGGAATGAGGAAATCATGGAAAGAGAAAGAAGTGAGTGTAGGATGGAAGTCCCAGAAGTGGAGTAGGAGCCCAGTTTACCCCCTGCCACTCCTTGCCCAGTGTTCCAGGACAGGGTGGAGTGAGCCACCAGGGAAGGAGGAGGACAAAGGGGTGAGTAGATGGCAGCAAAAAGGGGTAGCAACAGAGATGCATGACTCTCAGACATGAGCACGGAACAGGGTCAATGAGACCATGCAGAGGTAAGGGTTGTCAGACATAAAAATTAAAGGTAAATAACCCCTAGAAGCAAATGTTTGCAACAAACAGTAAATATCTGAAATATATAAAGAGCTTCTATAAATTAATAACCCAGCAGAAAATAGGGCAAATAATGTAGCAAAATCCACAAAAGGCAGTTCATAGAATAAACCTAAATGTCTAGTAAACATGTGAAAAGATACTGAATCTCACTAGTCAGTAAAGAAGTGTATTCAGTGTTGTTAATTGAAGGGTGTGAAGCAGCTGGGCCCTGATAGAACAGGGTAACAGTAGCTTTGGAGAACTCCTTGGACATCTCAAACTTTTAAATCTAAAAAAATTATATTTTAATCCAGCAAACCACATATAAGGAGTATCCTATTGAAAATCCCCACATGTACATAAATAAATTTTTTAATGATGTTCTGTGCAATATTACCTACAATAGGAAAAATACCTTTAAAAAATTAAATGTCCATGAGGAAGAAAATGTCAAATTAGGGAATGGTCCTACTATGAACAATAGTTGTTGCTGGTAATAAAGCCAAGTCATACATGCTAATAGGGAAAAAGCATCCATAAGGTATTGTTATATAGGTGGCAAATGAGCCATGCAATGATACAGATGGAACAATCCTTTTTATAGTGAAAAAAAAAAAGGCTATGTAAATCAGAACAAATGCCAAGGAAGAAGTCTGAAAAGATGCATACCCGCCTGTTGTCTGAGAAAGAGAGTGGGATTGTACGGTGGCGGGGCCACAATGAGTAGTACGGGAGTGGAGACTTTAAACTGGGGGGGAAGGAGGAACCCAGAAAAAGATTTCTATTTAATTGCCTGATATCCTCACAGGACCAGCCTTATTAAGAAAAAATGTCTGAAACTTATAAAGTCAAGAGGACAACTGCCTGTTCTTTCAAGGATATTTAATTTTCTAGAAGAAAATACCATTGCTTGATCTTACTACTTGCTATTAATAAAGGTCTCAATCTTGTGAAGTTCATGTAACTTGTGTATGGTAAAGATGCAAATGTTTCCCTATATGGCCCCAGAAGATGACTGGTTAGCCAGAGACGGGTAAGATTCCTAAAGGGAGGAACAACCTAAGACAGGCACAGTCGCAGGGGTGCCATCAGGTGAGAAATTGGGGATCAACAGAGGTGAAGCTTAGAACCTCACCCCCCTGTTTTGAGAGAAATCTTCTGCATCCGTGGATGTTTTGCTGCCCTTGTGTAGCCTGGATTAATACTTAGCTTATAGGTACACACCTGATCATCTATATTTGCTTTCTTACAGCACTAAACTATGTTTTCTACCTTTATCTTGCATCTACCTACCACTTCAGCATTTTATTTAAAAAAAAATAATAATAATAAGGGAGAAATGTGGGATTCACATATAAATCAAGTATAAAAATCAAACCAATATTCACATTTGACCTGATTGTTTATAGTTCATAATGCATGATCAAAACTGAAAGTTTCTGTGACAACTGCCCTTGTACTGTTCACCATGTAAGAACTTATTCACTATGTAAGAATTTGTACACCATGTAAGAACTTGTTCATTGTGCTTCAGAAGATCCGAGACTGATGAGAATTAGACTTGGGGTGGATTAATGATTGTGCATTGAGTCCCCTGTACAGAATTTTATTGTTGTTAACTGTTAACAACCATTTGATCAATAAATATGAGAGATGCCGTCTCAAAAAAAAAAAAAAGGCAGACTAAAATCTTCAGCTTAAACCTTACAGTTCCATTGAGTGTCTTGAACAAGCCTACCATTAAACGTAAGTAATTTGCTGCTTCAAAAAAAAAAACGATGCAAATGATTCCTGTTCCATAAAAGCAGATAACCCCAAAGATTATAGTTAACTGCCCTGTAGGACATTAGCTGGTTTTGTATCTAGCCCAGCAATCCTAACATTCCTTTCTAAAATTGCCTATGAATACCTAGCTCCTCAACTGTTCTTAGAAGGAGCATTGCCACCTTGCTGAGTTGAATTTGTATTCATTGTAATTTGTATGAATCATGTTTTAATTTTTTTGAAAATTAAACTTTGACGGGCTGGAGCGAGGGGCCCCACGTCCCCCCCTTTGTGGAGCTTAGAGCCGCCCCCCTTCCTTCCTCATTGCTGGTCCTCCCGCAGCCTGCTCCCTATCTTTGCTCTCCCCAAGTCATGCTGGACTGTAAGGGCCAAGGGCAGGCTGCCCCAGGATGTGCCATTGTGACATGCAGATTATTTTGAGCTGAAAAACATCAAGGCCCAAAGGACTCAGAAAGAAACTTTGACCTACCCGCACCCCCCCAACAGCATAAAAAGAACTTAGAGCAACTGCTCCAAGAGGTGAGCTATCACCATGGATAACTAATGTCAACTAGGTGTGGCAGACAGAGAGAATTATGCTAAGTCTGTTAAAATTTCTCTCTGTGCTCCATTGTTTCTGTGTGGCCCATCAAGTATTTGTTTATCAAACATTTAATTACTCTTCTCCTGTTCCTGTGAAGTACTTCCCTTTTCCTTCAAAGTCTCAGACCCCTCCCCCTTCTCCTTGCTTCAGGATGACACATGTACCTCATTCTCCCTGACCGTCTTTGGAGCCCATGGCTATGGCTTCCCCTTACCTACATAATTAAACTGTTTTTTTTCCCCTCCTGTTACTATGTCTTCCGTCAATCTGATTCTTAGACCAGCTAGAAGAACCTCGAGGAGCAGAAGAAATTTCTTCTCCACCGACCTGGGAAAGCGCTGAGGACGCGGATGGAGGCAAGAGACGCAGAAATGGAGAGAGAGACGGAGTAGTTCAGAGTCTGCTCCTCAGTGGTTTACGGAACTTCTCCCTCCAGAGCTGGCAGCGGACAGGCCGAGACTCGTGGGAGGCAGCGCGCCCAGTTCTCTCCCGGGACCGCGGAAGAGGGCAGAGCCGTCCGGAGGACGAGCCAGGGAGCGTGCCCAGGGCCGAAAGCCGACCCGTGCCGCAGAAGTGGACCCAAGCCAAGGGCCACAGCGGAAGCAGCTGGTGTTAGACTGCGGGCGGAGAAGGGGTGGGGGCCGGGGCGAGGTGCTGCGGGGAGACGCCTCTGGAGGGGGGGCACCGGCCACCCGCGCCGAGCCAGGCGCACGAGGGTCTCCCAGAGCCGCCCGTCTCGCCACCCTAGAGTCTCTCAATCCCCCTGCCTTGGCTCCTGCGGCACTTCCGGGCTCCCTCGGTGGCACTCCAGGGGCGAGTACTGGATGCGGGTGGCCACCTTCCTGGGCTCGGGGACCTGGCACAGCGTGTCAGCGCGCCCGGTGAGAGCGGCAGCCTAGAGCTCAGCCCTGCGGCCGGACAACTTCAGTGGGCGGGGGTAGTGAGGGCCTGGCCCCCTCGAATTCGACCCACTCCACCCCAAGAGCCCTCCCTTTCTCCTCTCCCCCGAACCCGGAAGCGGGACTTGGGGGTGAAGCCCCCAGGGACGAGGGTCTGGTGCTGCTGCGGCGCGGCACAAGGCGAGACCCCCATCCCCGCGCGGTCCCTCCCCTCGGGCTAGGTGCGGCCTCGGGTTCCCGCTCCAGCCGGAGCCTGGAGCTGCGGGAGAGGACAGGTAAGGCGGGTTGGGCTGGGAGGGGCACGGGAGGCTAGTGTCGTAGATCGGGAGAGGGCACTGGTGCGCTGCTGCAGCCACAGTGGGAGGGCCTGAGAGGGCGGAGAAGGGGAGACCATGGGTTGGGGGGTGGGCGGTGCCGTGAGGTGCACGGGAAGGAGGAGAAGGAATGGCTGGGAGGAATTATATCATGGTGGGGACCTGGTCGAGGAACCAACGTGGGGGAGAAAGGCGTGCTTCAGACCAGAGGATCAGGTGGGGACATGGTGGGCTGGGGGAAATCAGCAGCAGCAGAGGGAGGGGCCGGTGGCAAAACCACTGACCGAGAAGAGGAGGGAAGATGTAGGCAGACAACTGGAGTCAGTGGGAGGGTGCGGCTGTGACCCGTCCTTTCTCCTTCCTCCTGTTACTGCTCTTTGGCTCCCTCTGGCCTCAGCTGTTAAGTTGGGGTCAATGTGTCGAAGGGGGCTGCTGGCTCAGTCTGCCTTGGATGGGAGGAGTGGGCAAGGGCCTCTCCATCCCTGGGGGAAAAGGTAAAACTGTCAAGAGGCCAGTGGCTGGCTGACATTCCAGTCCAGCGACATCCCAGCCCAGGTCGGTGGAGAGGCAGAGAGGCTGCAGTGCTGAAGGGTGGGGCAAGTCCCCCTCTCTTGCCTTCCCTCCCAGCCCATCGTCTGGCAGGACAGACACCCTCTGCTCTATGCCCAGCACCAGGCAGAGATTAAGGAGAAGCAGCAGAAATACTGGCGAGCACTCAGGGGGACTTGGGCTGGTAGTCCCTGGGGTCCTCACTTCTTAGTTTTCTTGGCTGTAGAGGGGGGACTCCCTTTCCTGCTGGCTGAGGTCATCGGAGCCCCAGATCTGACCAACAACAGCACACGTGTGAGGAGCCCCAAGTCCTGGTAGCACCCGACCATGAGCTCCCAGTCCCGAAGCCCTCTGTGTGGAAGCACGTGCAGCAGCCAGGTGTGCTCCCACCTGACTGTGGGTCCCTAGCTCTTGCCATCACACTGCCTAACAGCCTTCCTGAGGACTGGGATGTGTGACAGTGCTGCTCCTGAGCCTCCCAGGGCTTTTTTCTGTTTTCCACACATAATGTAGTGGTCACTGCAGCATCTCAGTCTCTCTGAATCTAACCCCTCAATATACTGAGCCTAGGGAGACCAGGCACCCCAATTCTCCCTCTCCCTTTGTCCAAATGCTGCCCCTTCAGGTCCAGCTCAGGCCCCACCTCCCCTTGAAGTCCTCAGGGACTGCCCTACACCCATAGCTGGAGCAATGGATCCACATACCCCTCATGAGCCCTACTATGGCTGGGGGTGAATGCGGTGGTGAGCAAGTCACACCCAGCTCTGCCCATTTGGAACCAGTGGAGGAGATGGACCCAGTGTTCCAGTCCCAACACAGAGGGGCCTGGTGTCTTATCCTCCCCTGTGGCTTGATCTAGCTCAAAAGACTGGAACTCAAATGCCTGCAGGGCCAGCAAGTAGCAAAAAGCTAGGGATAAGGGATGGGCAGGAACTTACTCATGTTTGATGGGGACACTGGTGACCCAGTTGTTACTACAGCCAGATCTGACCCAGTTGTGACTACAGCCAGATCTTTAGATGTTTCAAGAGAAACCAGACATTTTTTAATATTTAAATGTAAGCCACTGATTCAGCTTGCAAAAGAAACAAATTCAAAACTTTGGTAGCCAGTCAAAACAAACCTGCAAACCAACTAAAGCTCTCAGGCCCTCAGCTTGCACCCCCTGGTGGAGACAGAGGCCTCCAGGTTTGAAGTGCAGCTCAGGTTCGTATGTGTGGTTGGCTGTTTTTCTTCTCTGGTCTCTTTAGGGCAGTTGGGCTCAGTGGCCTCTTCCAACCCACACCGCTGAGCAGCATAGACTTCCAACTATTAGTCACCGTGTGCTACTGGATCCCCAGCTTCATGTCCAACATTGTTGGCATCTGTACCTCAAGGATAGGACAGTGAGCAGGGACTTGAAGCTGCCCGCCTGGGCCAGGGAGATCTTTCATGAGGGCTTTCTAAGCTGCATGGGCTCAGGTGAGGTGGATCCCTGACTCCTGCCCCCTAGATCCCACTTTCCCAGAGTAGCAGCCCTTAGGGTTCATCTGTTCTTTCCACCTCACCCCCATGTAGGGGTCCCTTCTGCCCTGGACAGCTGCACTGGCTTCATTGACTTCTCAACAGGATCATCTTCCACTGCTCAGCCCAATGCGCTGCCATTATAACAGTGACCAGGTGAGCCAGTGCCAGACTGGGGGAGGGACTACGGGAGGAGTGGACCTTAGAGCACTGGCAGCCCTGTGCTTATTGAGTCTGAGGGTCAGATGGAATTCAGTACCCAATATTCCCAGCACCATACAGCTTTTCCCACACACAACCAAACGCCAGACAGACCTGACTTCTTCAGGTCAATGCCATATGCCACGCCCTTGTGCTCTTGTGGGGTGTAAGGCATGAAACCAAAGACACTGTAAGCAAGATCCAGGGTCCGGGCAGAAAGGGAGGTTCTTAGGTTCCAGGAAAATGGGTGGGGGTGAGAAAGGGATCCTGGGGACAATGGGTTACTTGGAGGGCACGCTTAGCAGGCTGGGCTCATTGATGGAGGCTGACAGAGCAGGGAGAGACGTAGGCTGCTGGGAGTGTGGTTTACAACAGCATGGGTTCCTAGTGGGCAGAGCTTAGAGTGGTCTGGGTTCCAGAGTGAGCTTGGCTTGGTGATCTGGATTTCTGGTGGGCTAGGCTTAGGGGTGGGCTTTTGCCTTGGTTGATAGGGTGGATTATGTTTCAAGGTTAACAGGCCTTGGGGTTCCTTGGTGGACAGGGGTTGGGTGGTGGTCTGTGTCCTTGGGTGGAATTCCTGGTGAACTGGGGTCCTTGGTAGTCTGTGTCCCTAGGTGGGGGTGCTTAATATTTAAGATGGACCAGAATCGTTTTGTGTTGAAAAATGGGTCGGGGTATCAAGGGGCTCTGAGCCGTCTCTCCCACCTTCCCCAGCGGTGCCTGGCATCTACCCAAAGCAGGAGACCCCTGCGGCAGAGTATCACTACTTTCCAGAGCCGCCTGGTCCGGATATCACGGGACATCCAGGATCGGAACCGGGGCCTGGCGCTGCCCTCCGCCTACCTAGACCACGGGGTGGTGGAGAATAGCATCGCCCTGTGAGCGTGCGCGCACAGGCGCCCCAGCCCGCACCCGGAGGAGCCAGCCCTTCAGCCCGCATCCGCAGTAAAAGGTCGCGCGCAATGACAGACCGACTGCTTGTGTCTGAAGTGGTTTTCTTGGAAAACAAGCAGACGCAGGGCGGGGCGGGGCGAGGCCAGGCGGGAAGGGCCGTCTAGATGGAAATGCTGTTCTCGATCAGCACGGGGTCCAGGTAGTAGTAGGGGATGGGGAGGCACTTGTTGCGCTGGCGGATATTATGAGAGATCTGGGCCAGGCGCTGGCGGAAGGTCTCCATGCTCCTCCGTGGGGCCTCCTCCACAAAGTGGATGTCGGGGAAGTGGCCCAGGGGCCTCTGCGGGCGCAGAACCCGACATCTGAGACGGATCGGGCCCCCACCCCTCCGCCTTTCCCTGTCAACAGCGTCTTTCCAGCGTCCCGCCTTTGACACCCCTCTCCTGTCGTTGGCCTCCCAGCACCCTGCCTGTGCTCAGAGTTCCCGCACCCTGAGGCCCCAGGGCACCTTGTCGTCGGGCTCCCGGCTGAGTGTCCAGAGCACCAGTAGTGTAACGCATGTTGTCTTCACATCCGGCAACGTGTCCATAAAGGTCTCCAGAGTGGTCAGCCCCTTGGTCTCCATCGGTGGGTTCCTCATGGATGATGGGAAGTTGGGCATCCAGGAGGTGAATTCCAGCTGGAGATGGAGTAAATGAGAGGTTCTGGGTCAGGGAGCACCGCCGAGGACTCTCGGGTTCAAATTGAGGTTGGGACTCGGGTTGAGAATGGTGGGCGCTGACTAGGGATTATGGCTGAGGTTGGGTTTGCTTTTGGGGTCAGTACAAGGTTAAGTCTGGGCCTGGAGCTGGTGAAGTGGCTGGTGAGGTACCTGCCCTGTGTTCACAGCTGCGTGCTTGGCAGAGCAGATGTAGATGACGATGGTGACATACCGTATCAACTCAGGCACTGTTCGCAAGCAGGTAGGGAAGCCTGAGGGGCGGGGGAAGGCCCACAGTCAGTCCGCCCTGGTCCTGGCTGGCCGGCAGAGGGCGCAGTGAAGCCCAGCTCCCCCTGACCTGCCAGGCCTCCCCGCTGCTGCTTCTGCGTCCTCATCCTGCCTGCTCCGCTCTCCTGCAGCCACAGGCCCGCCTCCTCTCAGTCCCAACCACCAGCCTTGGGGAGGGGGCCTTGCCTGGCACTAGATCTCCTCCAATGATGCTCCAGGCACCTGCCTGAGGTGGGGCCCTCAGATCTTTCCTCCAGCTCCCTTTGGGGAGCCCCTTTGGTCCCAAGCCTCAGGGGAAAGAAGTCTTGGAAGAATCTTGGCTTTCCTGCTGGGACTCAACACAGTTCCTGATCCACCCCACCCCAGCCCCACTCCCATCTCACACACACACAGACTTCTGCACTGGAGTCAACACTCATTCCAGATGGATTCCTCAGTAGCCTGGTTCTCAATCTCACACCTAACCAAGTTGCTGCTTGCCTCTTTCCTGTTGTCTCACTGTGAATAGCTGGCCCAGTTTGCCATGCTGATCTCTGGTTCCCCCACACCCATCCACTCCAAAGCCCAGCACATTCACACCAGACCTATCATCTTCCTCCTTCTAGGCCCCCAGCTCAAGGAAGGGCACACACCATCCATCCAGTTGTGAAAGCCCAAAACCTTCAAGTCACCCTTGGCCCTTCCCTCCACCTATCGCCCACTGCCAAACCCAAACCAATCACCAAAGGCCTGTCATTTCTATCTCCCAACTAGCTCTGGAATTCTCTATTCATCCCCACAGCCAGGTCCCTGTCCCCTTCCCAACAGGACACCACAGCAGCTTCCTAACCTCTCTCCTGACCTCCAGAGCAGCTAGACAGTCTAACATACAAATCTAATCTCCTTGCAGACAACTTAGTGGCTCCCTTTGTACTCAGGGTAATTTCGGACTCCTTAACTAGGCTGTGTACAGTGTCCCTGCTCATGGCTTGAGCTGTCGCCCCACCAGGAGCCTGTCCAGCTCTCACCCTCAGCCCCTGGTGCAGGGACCTCTAAACTGCTCCCTGAACTGCCTGCTCTGCCTTTCAGGTCTTTCCACCCAGAACTCTCCAACCCCACCTCTGTCATCTCACAGCCAACCTCCCCATCCTGCGGATCTTAGCTAGATGTTAGCCAAGCCATTAGCTATCAGCTAGATTTTAGCTTGCTGTTATCCACCCTCACACTGTACCCACCAGTTCTCCCAAGGTAGGTTAGGGGTCTTCCCTGGGCTCCTAAGCACCCCCCAAACTGCACCAGTCCTGCTATGAGTAACTGCCCACTTACTTGAATAGCCCATCCCCCCAGACGGTGAACTCCTTGAGGGCAGGCACCTTCACCTGCCTCCTTCCCTTTTGCCTCCCAAGGAACCAGCACAGTGTTCATCCCATCACAAATTAAGTTTTTGTTGAGTGGGTGCCCAAGTGGCCTGATCTAAGGATGCTCTCCACCCACCCCTGAGCCTGCCAGCTCTCCACCAGCTCACCAGCCTCCAGCACACTCTGCCCTTTCCACTTCTCAGTCCGCAAAGGTTTGTTTCTTGAGTAGGGACCCCTTCAGGTCTCTACAGAGACGACTCACAGCCCCTGAGCACAGATAGGGATGATGGCCAGCTGTGCTTTCTTCCCCAGCCTCTGAGATGCCACTGCTCTAAGGGCCAGGGAAGGGGCCTGTTAAAATCCAGGGGCAGTAATTTGGCCTCCAATGAGTCAGACTCCCACCCAGCCAGGAGGGCCCATTGCACAGCCCCAGGTGCCTGCTAGGTGCCAGGTACCCAGATGCTTACCTGAGCTCTCACGCCCTAGTAGGCACTCCTTGAATATCTCCTGCACCCAGGATTGCAATTCAGGGTCACCCTTCACTGCTGCATCACACGGGTAATAGTAGGTGATGATCTCTGTCACATACCTGACCAGGGGACAGGACCTCAGTTTGGACCCTCCCCCTACCCTTCCCAGCAGTGTTCCTCCCACCTCCTCCAGGATGCCCTGGCCTTGGCTGCCCCAGGCCTTTGGGTGGGCACATCCTGTGAGTCAGAGGAGATGAGATGAGGGTAGCTTGCCACGGTCAGCAGACAGCAACAGACCCAAGCTCAGGTCCTTAAAAGCACCCCACACCTGCTCCAACATCCCAGAGTGTCACCCACTGCCGTCCCAACCTCACCTCTCTAGTGCGTCCCACACTGCCAAGCTGTCATCACGGTAATAATATCCTGGCAGGTCCTGAACCCCACGCTTCACGAAGTCATTGGGGATGTAGAGGTTGTCATAGGTGATCTCTGAGAGAGCCCGCACCATAACCTCAGCAAAGCCCTCCAGGCCCAGGGACATGCCCTGTTAGGGAGGAGGAGGCAGACCCCAGAGCTGACCCTGGTCCTTGAAGTCCTCCCCTCTGAGGATGGCACCCGCCTCACACACAGTCTAGTGAGTGCACCTCTGCCCGCACCCCAGGACTTCTCCCCCTCCAGGCCAGCAGGCCCAGTCCCTTCTTCTGCACCCTTGCAGACACAGTATCCACTTTAACGGGTCCCCTCCCTTCATGCCTCCTCATGACCTAAAGGCAAGTGGGAAGTTCTGCCTTTAGTCTCACTGCAAATGCCAGAAGGAGAGCAAATGTCTTGCTGGAGTTGGCATAGAAATCTTACCCTGGCAGAGAGTCCCCCCTCATTGAGGAGGACAGCCCGCCCAATGCTGTTGATCTGGACAGTGTATCGGGTGTGGGGGATGAGGAGCTGTGGGGAAAGCAAGGAGGACAGTGAGAGAGGGCTGAAGTTATCCCCCAAAGGATCTTGCACCCCCATTCCTGCAACATCAGACCCCCTCACTTCAGGAAGTCCCTACCCCACACCCTCTCTCATGGGTCCCCGGAGGCCTCCTGGAGTCTAATGGAATCCCTCTGACTGCCGAGCAAGCCAGGTAGCTTTCTGAGGCTGGGTGAGGGCAGCTATGCTCCATAGAGGCCCCTTTGCCCAGGAGCACACCTTGTAGAGAGGGTGGCACATGGGTAGCTGCCTCAGCATGGCCAGGAAGAAGGCCTCAGCGATGAGGTGGGTCTCCAGCAGGTGGGAGATGGCCTCATGGCAGTAAAACTCGGCATAGCGCACCCACGTCTTGGCCAGGAGCCAGTCCCACTCAGAGTCATTGGGCAGGAAGATGGGGCAATTGGGCCCGGGGGTCTGGCTGAGCTGGGGACAGGGAAGGAGGGAAGGTCAGGTGAGGGCAGAGACCCTCACACACAAGGGTCCCCACTTCAGGACGGAAGCAGAGGGGAGCCTGAGGAGGTAGAGCCTCCACCCTCTACACTCCAGCCCCTCTGGTGCCCTGAGCACACCAGGGCCTTTACCTCTTCACATTCAGTCTAGTTGGCTGTTCCCACTCCCCGCAATGCCTGCTCCCGCCTCCCACCCTACCCTCGTCCCTTTCACACATTCTCCAAGAGCCAGCTCACAAGCTGCCTCCTCTGAGAAGCCTACCTTATCTCAACCCCACAGCTGCCACATAAAGCTGTGCAGGCTGTGTACTTCATAAAGGTACCCACCCCCACGGGCGGGGGACATGGAAATCTAGCCTAATGGAAATCCACTCATGAGCTGGAGCATTAGCACCTGGCTGATCCTCCCAAGAGGGTTTTTTTTTGTAATTTGGACATGACCCTGGCACCTCACTTCCGTTTCCTGCCGGACCAGATTCTCAAAGCCATGGCTAAGTCTGAGTAGCTTAGCATTTCCAGTTTCCTACAATAGGTATTGGTTTATCAAGTAGATGGACGAATGGAGTCAAAGAGACAAGCTTGAGTCATCAAGCATGTTCCCATCTGGTCACATCTGTGCATGTACACACAGCACACACACTGTACACACAGTAGTTTACACACGAGTGTACCCACAGGGAGCCAAGTTCATGTGTGGGCATACAAGCACACAGATGTGCACACACAGGGACAAGCAGGGACTCCTTCGACTCCTTTGGAGGCTTACTCACAGGGCCACACACCAGGTTCTCCACTGGCCACACACACAGATAATCGACACATACATAAACAGGTGTATTCTTAGAGGCACACACAGGGATATGCATTCACATGGATTCACATGCTTACACACAGATGCACACACACACAGGCTGACCCACTGACTACACACATAAGGGCGTGCACATACACACAAACACACACACACTGTCCACTGGCTTCACATTCACAGAGCAGCCCCAGGCCTGCACCCCAGGCACCTGGATGGCGATAGGCATCATGTTCCCGTCAGGGCCAAAGTGCAGCAAGCAGAGGGGTGCACAGTGATGCTGCTTCCGGCCGTTGAGCTCGACGGTGGGGATGCCCTCCAAAATGCGGTAGTCTGCCAGGAAAATGTTCCCCTTCTGGAGGGGAGCTGCGATGGGCAAGCAGCTGGGCACCAGCACCGCTACCCGGGGTGACCCACGCCTTGGATGCAGGTACCCTGGACTCCCAAGGGTGAATTGGCCAGGGAGCCACTGGGGATTGCGGGCAAGGGTGGGACTGCATGCGGCGGAAGTGGCTGGGATGCCTGGGAGGGAAGAGGCAGGCAGGCCTGTGGGGAATTTTGCTGGATCAGGCCTCACCTGCAGCTCCGCTTGCAGGCACGTTCCCTCGCCCAGGAACGGGGCCACCATGTCGTCTGTGACGGGGAACTTGTCTGGGATCTGCGTGCAGCGGCGGAGAAGGCCTGGGTTGACGCCATTGAGGTACTGGTACCCAAAGAAGGTGTCCTCTGCCCAGTGCTCGGCCACGTACTCTGGGGGTGCGGCGGGGGGGGCGTCATTACGCGACCAGGTACCCCTCAGGGACAGAGGGGCATGGGGCTGAGGCCCGGGACAGCGGAAGACCACAGACATGCGAGAAGACGCGGAGGAAAACCCTTTGCCTCCCTGGGACCCGCGGGCAGGGCGCAGGGCGACGTTTCCCAAGAAGCCGCCAGAGGGCGTGCCCGCCCAGCTCGCGATTGCTGCTGGGGGTACGTCCTGCTTCTCCCACCCCACACGCCTCGGCTGCGTCCAGCCTCTAGAGCGTGTCTGGGGTTCCCTCCGGGAGGAGATCAGCAGGCTGCCCCCTTTTCCACTGGGAATGCCCCACCCCATACCGGAAACAACAGTCTTATTTGCAGGGAAAATTTTCTTAATGTCCTTCAGCCTCTTCCACGGTTGTTTGCAGTCCACCAGGCCGCGGAGTTTGAACCCCAGTGCCCTGGGAGAAGGGATTCGAGCGGAGGCCGTCGCTAGTGCCCGCTGGCAAGGAGGCGGAGCTGCCCCGCCCCACTGAGGTCTCTGGGTCTCAGGGTCCCGAGCCCACAGCTCAAGGTTTCTATTCCTCTGGGTGTCAACCCTCAGGTACTCCAGGCCTGCTTTTCCAGCTCCCTCCGCCCACCTGGCCATGCCGACCTCTGGGGCAGTGCTGGAGGCCGCACGGAGCAGGGGGAGAGGGACAGTCTTCAAGGGAGCCCTCCCTGCCCCGTCACACACACGCACACTCACATGGGCCCCAGGCGCGTAAAGAAGGAGGCCGTCTTGATGAAGGAGTAGCGGAGATTTGAGTTCAGGAACTTGGTGGCCTTAAAGTTGATGAGAATCGGGAATCCTGGAATATAGCCATTCCACCTGTGGGAAGGAGTACAGGGCTGGGGCCGGGCACCTGGAGTACAGGGCGTGGGGGCACAGTAGAGCCCAGGGGTCAGCCAGGCAGGGGCCCCTCAGGGCCTTACTCAGGCCGGTTGGGATTTCTCCGGACAGGAGGGCGGTAACTGGGGATGTGCACGTAGTTGGGCAGGCCAGGAACGAAGACCCTCCAGCTGCAAAGAGAAGCCAAGACGGTGGGCCCGGATGCCCATGAACCGTTCTGAGGACAGAAGACAAAGTCATTGCCGACACCCTGCCCTTCATCAACCCCTGCCACCCTTGCCCCCTCACTGGTAGAAGTCCTGCTTGGCTCTGATCTCCTCCTGTCGGTGCTCCAGAAGGATTGGGAGGGTGTCGTCTGCTTTCTTTTTTGCTGTAGGGAGACCAAAGATGAGACTCAAGGCCTGACCCCCAGCCCACCCTTTGCCCCCTTCAAGGATCACTGCTTCTGCCCCTAGGTCGGCTCTGGGGGGGACCCACTGCAAGGATGGGGGAGAAAGGGCGTGTCTCCTTCCAAAAACTCAGAAGGATCAGGGACCAATTCTTTACCCCAGGAGATGGGCTCTGCTGATGCAGGAAGTCCCTCTTTTAGACCCACTGAAACATTAACTAACTGTTACTTATTACTTATAGGTAACCTACTATCTAAACACTTGTATTAATAATTTAATCCACCCAAGAACAACCTTACAAGGCAGGTGACTATTGTTATAGGCCTGTATCCAGTCTCCACTATTCCAAAATCCAAAAGGCTGTAGAAATCAGCTTTGTTTTTTCCACAAGTTAAGCACAAATTCCTTGATGGGCAAAACCTACTCCAAATTTACCTGAAGCTATATACAGTCTTTATTTAACCCACTTGCTGTAACTATTCATAGTTTGTCACAGAAATATTAGCATATTTGATTAGGGGGTGCCCTGGTTGATGATTCATATAACATTCACCCAATGTATAGTGTGCATATAGAAGAGATAGATGATAGGTAGATAGGTAGATATATATATATACAGATATATTTTACATATGTATATATATATTCTAAATGAAATCTGAGTTTCAAAACACCTCTGGCCCCAATAGTTTCAGCCAAGGGACAATATCATTGTGCTCATTTTACAAGGAAAAAAGAGCCACTATTACATAGAAAAGTAAGCTGGGAATTGAGTCAAGGCTGCTTCAGATCACTCACCTACCACCCTCTAACAGCCACCACCAAGTTGTTGAGATATTTTAAAACTCCTTTTAGAGGTTACCTCATTGGATTCTCCTGTCAACCCTATGAAATAGGTTTGAAGCAGCCCCATTTTACAGAGGAGGACACTGAGACTTAGAAGAATTTGGAAGTGTACCTGGATGTCCAGCTAATAAGTGGTGGAGCTGAGATCCAGATCCAGGCCTGTCTTTTTCCAGCGTCCTGGCTGGTAGTCCCTATAGACGCCATGTGCCTGTCACTGTAGCCCCATCATTTTCCCTCACGGCACCCTGTGCCACCTTTTCCCTCCTCCGTCTGCCTTGGCTCATGTGTTCTGGATGAGCTGTGCCCCCTGGCGTTTTGCAACTTCATTCCCCGACTGGGAGCCTCACCCCTTCAGGGCCCAGTAGGTGACTCAAGTCTCCCTGCCCTGGTGTTGCGTGACAGCTGCCCCACCCAGCACCATTCATCATGCTGCCTGTCCCTTGCTTCCATGCCACTCAGACCTATCACTTTGGGAAGATGCTCCACACCTCCAGTGAGATCTTCTCTACCCCCTCCCAGGCCTGCCGCTCTCTGCTTCTGCCTCTCCTTTCTCCCAGCTCAGGCCTCATTTCCCTGTTCCCACCACAGAGAAATGAGATGGAAGTGGGTGGTCAGCCTCAGGGAGGATGGAGCTCCAGGCCCCTGATCCCCTCAGTTCCCATTCCAGCCTCCTAGAGGAAGTCTCAGGTGGCAGAGCCAGGGGGACAAGAGAGGGCAGGCCTGAGGTCCCCATGTAGCTGCCACATATTAGGAAGCTGACCCACGCCCATCAGACAGGGCTCTGGCAGGGGTGGACATGTGGAGCTCAGGCACTCAGGTCCTGTCCCTCTTCCATGGGACCAATCAAGCAACTGGGAAAATGGCTGGGCCGCCCTGATCAGCCACTACGGAAACCCGGACAGTCTGTAAGCATAACAGGGCCCACTATCAGAGTGATGGAGCCTTACTGGGCTAAGGGAGCCTTTTGGAGTACCACTAAGTCCTGTTAGAGAAATAAGATGTCTTGTTGGGATAAAAGGGAGTCCTTTAGAGCAATAGAACACCCCACCAGTGCCAGAAAGGCTCACTTAGAAAACCAGGGTATCATCATAAGGTACAAGCCCTCCTGTTATAGTGCCATGGGCAGCTGTGGAACTAATAGGGCTTGCTAGTGAAACAAGGCAGAAGTTGGAATAATGGGGCATCCTGTTAGGGTAACAGAATCTTGCTGGAGTAACAGAATCTTTTTAGAGTAGCAGGATATGCTATGTGGCATGAGTAGGGCATCCTGTCAGAGTCCAGAGCAGGGAGGGCTCTTTTCAGAGTGGCCAGACTTCCTGTGGGAGGGAGGACTGTACAGATAGGTGGTGGAGAGCACGCGTGTCTCCAGCCAGAACCTGTCCTGAGAGCCTGTAGACAGCCCCATACCTCACTCATCTCTGTTCCTCCAGGGTGTACCCCGAGCTGAGCCCTGCACACAGAGGTGAGAGTGGCAGGCGTTCCTGTGTGGCTGGCACCTGGCTGGTTTGTTGGGAGCCTGGAGTGGCCATGCTGGGGAGGCCAGGCCAGAGCAAGGAACCTAATGGCATAGGGTGGAGTGGTAGGAGCTTGCCTGTGGCCTCCCGGAGTGCCAGAGTCTCATAGCCATCCATCCACTGGTAGGCTGGGAAGTGGTAGATGCGGCCGCAAGGCGCACAGATCTGCACGTAGTTGCAGTACCAGGATTTCTTGCGGAAGAAGGAATAGCGCTCCTTGTACAGGCGGATGATCACGAGTTCGCCCAGGTCCTCCTGGCACTGGATGGTGTACTCATCCACCTGGGCCGGGCATAGGGCCGGCTCAGTGGGAAGGACTTGAGCCTGGCTCCTCAGGTCTTCCCCTGGTCTGGCCCCTCACCCGGGCCCTGCTCATGCTGGGAGATGTTCACCGCACTGGGATGGCTTGATCACTGGGCTCTCCTCCCACCCCTCCAACTTGGCTGTCCCCACCCTCGGGCACATCTACCCAGGGCTGAGCAGGACCCCAGCCCTTCCTCTGTCCACTCCCAGCTCCTAAGATCCCATCCTCTCACCCTCTCCCCAGACACCTGAAGTGGCCAAAGCCACGCAGAGCCGCAGGGGCTGGTGTACAAAGGGGTCCAAATGGAGCCCAGGGTTCTCCAAGCCCCCTACAGTTTTGGAGTAGACAGAGGTAGGAAGAAAGAAGAGGTGCTCCCTTTTCTCCCACTTAGCAGTGAAGATGTGGAGATTCAGAAATGGCACTTAGAAAATGACCTATTAAGGTCACATAGCAGCAGGTGGTTGGGAGCAACCCAAAAGGATGAATGATGAGAGAGAAGAGGTGGGAAAAGGGAGGGACAGAGGAGAAATGAACAAAAGAAGAGAGATGACAGACCAGAGGAAGGAAGAGGGCCCAGAGAGCAGGGAAGGTGGGGAGGCAGGTCTGGGATGAGGGACAGGCAGAGCCACTTTGAGCCCCGCAGTCTTCAGACCTCCTAGAGCTCCCCCACTTCTCCTGGTTGAGCTCTGTCTTCCTCTTGGGCATCCCTCCATCCCTCCTCATGAGTTCCAGACACACCACACACACACAGAGACACACCACACAGCGGGGTGCACACAGTCACAGGCACACACTCACCGCCCCAGTTGCAAAGTCTCTCCCAAAGTGGTTCAGCAGCTGTTTGTGGCTCTCTCCTTGGGTCCCCACCATGGTCAGCGAGATGGAGTCTGTCGTTCCCGACAAGAGGTCAGTACCTGTGGCCACCCTGACTTTGTAGGTGGCCATGGCTGCTGTTCAGGAGGCTCAATCCCAGACAGTGTGGGGGGGCCGCACAGGGGCCCAAGCTAGGCAGGGGAAGCCAGGCACAGGAGTGGAAAGAGCCAGTCTCCGAGGTGGAGAGGTGCTGCACAGTGACTGGCCCACTGCAGCCCAGAATCCGTAGAAGCTGCTGCCCTAGGCAGGTCGGGTGGGAGGTGTCAGGCTGTTGTTGGGTGGGGCTGGGGGCGGGCCGTGCTCGTGGCTGGTGAGCAGGAGTCCGGGCTGGGAGTCCTCTGGAAGCTGGTAGCGAGGAGGAGCAGGCTGGGCACTGGGCCTGCCTCTGAGAGGGCGGAGAGAAGATGCCTTGGATTAAGGAGGCTTGGGGTGGGGGAGAGCCAGTCCAGCCTGAGCCAGGGAGGGCCCCAGGGAAGTTGGGGGAGGGGCCCCCAGATCTTTATCAGTCTAACAATTTCCTTCGTTCTGCTCCCCCGTCAATGGGCTGCAGCCCTAGGCACCCCTGCTAAGCAGAGCCACAGGCAGCAGGCTCCCTGCATTGGTTTTGGGGCCCCCGCGGGCAGAGGCCAGGGGAGGAGGCAACGCACAACCTCACTGTCTAGCTGGCCTCCTGCCTGGCCATTCCTCTCTGGGAAATGAGGCAGTTGTGGCCACAGCAGAAAGGCTGGCGCATCTTTCTGCCTCAGGACCCAGAGCCCATGAGACAAGGGTGGGAGGAGTTGAAGCTGGTGTTCAGGGACCCTAAGGTGCACAGAAGATCCAGGGAGAGGTGATCAGGAATGGGAAAGAGGGTTCTGTCTTTTTTCTGCAGGGCCAGCATCAGCTGAGTAGGGAGTCCAAAATACTGAATATAAAGTACTGAAGTGGAAGACAGTTAGAGTGAAATTTGGGCACAAGTTCTAAGCTAAAAAATGGATATATAACTTATGGCATAATCATAGATGCTATGCAGCAGTTTGGAAAAGGAGAAAAAGAAAGAACAAATACAACAAGGATGAATCTCACAAAGATCCTACTGAATGAAGGCAGCCAGACATGAAAGAGTACATGTTCTATGGTTCCATCGATACCAAGTTCAAGAACAAGTTAAAAACTAAGCAATTCTTATAAAAGACTAGTGAGTAGCTGTGGAATGGGGGTACAGATTGAGTGCCTGCAAAGGGGAATCATGAAAGGAGCTTGAAATGTTATATATCTTGATGTGGGTGGCATATAAGGCAGTTTATGCATCTTACTATATACTATATCCTAATTTTGCAAAATACTCCCCTTTCCTACTCCACCCCAAAAGGAGCAAAAAGAATGAATCTAGGAAGAGTTGACATCAGGATTGGGCTCCACTGGAATTGGTTTGTGGGAAACCAGGTCATTCATTCCTTCCTGCCTCCTGTCATTCAGGAGATCTTTATAGAGCACCCAGGGTCCCAGGCCCTGTTCTAGGCACTGCAGATATAAAGAAGAAATAAAATACACACAGAGCCTACTGAAGCTGGGAGAGAAGGACAAGAAACTATCAGCAATCATTTGTTGGGGGAGTGTTAAGTGCAACAGGAAATAAATCTGCAGTGGAAGGGTTTGGGGTTGGGAGCTCGTTTCTGGCAGGACCATAGAAGCCAGAGCCATGAGGACTGGGGTGGGGTCAGTCCTGGGATGGAGCTGAGTTCAGGGAGGTGTTGGGACTGAGATTAGATTATAAAAGAGCATCAGAGCTCTATTCTCAGCAGACAGAATTTGGGACTCAGGAGAGTGAGGGGAGTCAGGCCCCCATCCACTTTTCCCAGACCTGCCCTCTTTCCTTCTGCCTCCCTGCAGCAGCTCCTGCAGCCAGGAAGCACCAGCCCAGATTTCCTTCCTGGTGGCTCCCTTCTGTCACCATTGAGGGAAGGTCACACTGTGCCTGGTCCAAGTTAGGGTCAAAGGGATTCTAAGATGGAGAGAAGGTTCTGGTAGGTTCAGAACTGGGTGAGGAATGAGGATGAGATTATGATTTAGGCTGACTATAGGAAAAGGGGTGTGGTTGAGTTAGGGAGTTAAATGCCCTTTTTAAGACCTAGGAAATCTGCTCAGGTCACCCCCACCTCCCTCTAACCCTAGGTCAAGCCTGGCAGTGGCTCCTTCTCACCTTTGGGGCAACATCATACCTTCACACAGCTCCCATGGTCTATCTACCTCATGGTCTCATCCCCTCCACCTCATCCCCCTCTGTTTTCTTCCCTCTGGGACTAGGAGCTTTTCATTCATAAGGAGCAGACCCAAAAGGAGCCCCTCCAGGTGCCAGCACTGTGTAAGGCCCTAGAATACAATGGAACCAAAGTGAATCCTTGCTCTTCCTCCTGGAGCTTACATTCTAGTAGGAGACACAGTAGCACCTAACTACCAAGTAAATTAAATACTATGTTAAAAGTGCTGAAGAGATAAAACAAAGCAGGGTAGACACTATAAAGTATAAGAGAGCAAACTAGATACAGAGATGGAAGTTAGGTCAGCCCCTTCCAGCCTCAGAGCCTTCGCTTATGCTGTCCCTCTCTACCTTCAGGACCTGATCAATGTTTCTCTGCCTTTGGATCTTAGCTCGATAATTCTTCACCAGGGGAGGCCAAGTTTAAATATTAGTGGCTCTCACAATGCTGCAGCTAAAATCTTTGACGGCCATCTTCCCCACTGGAATAGACTGTCCATCATTTGGTTTGGTTTTCCCCTCACTTCCTGGCTCAGTACCTGGTACGTGGGAGACTCAGAACATGATTCTTAACAATAGGATGGGTTAGTGATGAGGACAAGGTCAGGGTTGGGAACTGAATCAATAACATGCTCAGAATTGGGGTGAAGATGAGGAGAGGAGCTAGACTGAAGTAAAGATGAGAGTCGGGGAGTGGTGTGGAGGAGGGGAATGGGTTAGGGAGATGGAGGCAGGGTTGGGGAGAAGGCTGCAGATAAAGGTCTTGCCCGGGAGCTCTGGGTGACTGGCAGGGCTGTCTCATCTACCTGGGCACAATGCTGTCCCAGGCTGAGTACAGGAGCTGTCAAGCAGGTCAGGCTGCCCTCCTGGGTTCAGCTCAGCCACCCTGATGAGTTGGACTTGGGAAGCTAGGAGCCTGATGATGCAAATTTGCATCTTAAGGTGCAAACGCCATGTAAACTCTCCCAGCCTCCTGCCCTCCTGCCTTCCAGCTTCTCCCCTTTTCCACCAGGGGCTGCTTGGACTTGGTGAGGAGCAGGTAGGGTGGAGTGAGAATTGAGGCTCATGGGCTTGTGAAACTGACCTTCCAGGAACCTCTAGGATGCAGAGTCCTGGGCAGTGGGGGTGAGAGGCCCAGAGGCACAAAGGTGTCCCACAGCATAGGGTGGAAGAGGGCCTTGGGAAACAGGGAAGGGAGCCAGTGGTGTAGGAGAATCTGGGTGTCACCACAAATGGTGGGGATTTACCTCCATTCCCCAAATCTGCCTCCTCAAGCCATAAAGCACTATGAATAGGTCTGCCCCCAGCCAATCCCTGTCCCATAAAGCAAGAGTAGTGGCTCTGGTTTTGATGAGGGCTCAAGTCTGGAGTGGGAATTAGGTTCCTGAGGCAAACAGATATACAGATGAGGATGGTAGGGATGTGAATGTGGCTGCAGACATGGCTGGGATTAGGCATGAGGATGTAGATGGGGCACTTCCCAGTCACGATCAAAATGTGAACGAATGACTTTGGGTAGGTGCTCCTTGGGCTGAAGAACTGGTTCTCCTGGACCAGGGGTGGACTGACAGAACAGGAGAGGCCCCTGGGAAGGATGTGAGCTCGCTGGGTTGGTTCACAATGGGCCACCCACACAGGAAGCCGAATCGTCACTACTGGGGCAGCCCCTGCCTTACCCCACCCCAAGCCCTGCTCCACCCACCCCCCCAGGAAACAGAGAAAAATATCAAACCAGGTCACTCTCCTGCTTAAAGCTCACCAGAGCTTAAAATAATGTTGCCCTTAGAATCAAAACCAAGGACTTACCACAGACTACAAGACCCTGCGTGACCTAGCTTGTGGCCGCCCCTTGGTCACCTTATTCCAGCCACTTTGGCCTTCTCTCTGTTCTTCAGGCACATGTCCTTCTGGGCCCCTGCACTTGCCCTGTCCCTGGTCTATAACAACTCACCCCAAACTGTTCAAGTGTTTTGCTCTTGACACCCAGGATTCAACAGCCACCTCCTCAGAGTGGCCTACCCTGACCAGACCAAATGTCCCCGCCTCCGCCTCACCTCCAGTCATGCGAACACCCTGCCTGGGTTCATCTCCAAACTGCACTAGTAACCATCTGCAGGTACTTTTGTATGTGTTTATGTGTGCGTTTGCTGTCTGTCTCCCTGTAAGCCAGTGCAAGAAGGGTGGTGAGTTCACAGTTGCTTCCCCACTCTCTTGAGAGTGTCTAGGGAGACAGGAGCCATGAAGCAAACAGACATTATAATGTCAACGCTGGTAAGGACCTCCAAGGTCTTCTTGTCCATTTACCTGACCAATTTGAGCCACCAAGGCTGAGGGGCTTGCTCAAGGCCAGCTGGGGAGAGAGGATTGGTGTGCCTCCCACTATGCCATTCACTTTCTGAGTGACAGGAAAGCATAGCGGGGTCGGCCAGGGTGCACGCTGGCGGAAGCCCCCTATCTTCCAAGGCTCAAGCTTTATGTGAGCCTCTTCCCCACATCCTGTCCCCATAGATGCCCAGAGCCCTGGCCGAATCCTATGTGCAGCTGGGTGTGACTCCCCAGTAAATCTGGCTTTCTGGGAAACCAGATTCCAGTGACCACCTCATCACTCCCTCTCCAACTCAGAGGCATTTTTAGGATGGGCACGCCCTCTAATGCTAAGTTTGGTTCAGGCCAGGGAGCATTCATGCACTGGGAAGGACAGGCTGCCTCAGCGTGCCCTGACATCATCAATCCCTGAGCTGTACACTGGTCCTGCGGTTCTAAGGGGCAAGGCACATTCAGCCTCTGCCACAAGGAGGAGCCAAATCTGGTGATTTTGGCTAAATTCTTAGGTTGGAACCTGAAGGTGAGATATCCCCAAACACACACCTTTTAGTGTCAATGGCATGGGGATCCTCTTCCAGGATCACAAGTGCAGGAAATGAAAATCTGACCAAAGACTGCCCTTTTCCCCCAAGGCCCTCTCCCTCTTTGCAAATGGAGAATGGTTGAATAGGGAGAAAACTCTTGGGCCAAAAGGGGATGCGGCAAAGAGATGGGCAGTGGTTTTCTTTGGGCCTGTAGGACAGTGGCTGCTCTGAAATTCCAATGTAACAAAGACTCTCGGGTGGCAATTTAGGAAACATGGTTAGACCTGGAGATTCCTGTGGAGCTATGCTTGTACAGCAAACACTTTTTGTTTTCTTAGATCTTGGAAGCCAAGGCCAAGCAGCTGGAAGATCCCACTAACTGGAAGGATGCACACTGACCATGGTCTAGAGAAGGGCCGTGAGACTCTGCTGCCCAGCAAAGTCCTTGCCCAGATGACACTCTGGGTGTGTTACCAGGTATTAAAGCCACGATTCCCCTGCCACCAGTGCACAGAGATGGAGGAACAGTTACCCCTGACTCTGGCCAGAGAGGCTGTGACCAAGGTTTAGTCAGGCATAGAATTTGACTCAGGAGGCAGGGAACGTAAGGGGGCTGGATCAAAAGTCAAGGAAAACAGGAAACCAGGAGAGAGAAGATATGGATGCCTGTCTTGAGGGCTGCACAAATCTCCATTTTTAAGGGCCATGGGGCTGGAAAGTCGAACATCAGACTCCCCAGATTACCATCTGGTTCAGTTGGGATGGACTAGGTTATGTTGCAACAATGAAGTCCTGAAATGTCAATGGTTTAACTCAATAAAAGTTTATTTCTCCTTCAGCTCCATGTCCAACCCAGGTCATCAGAGGGCTCTGCTCTAGTCCCTCAAAGACAAAAGCTCCTGGAAGCACCATATCAACACAGACTTCTAGAACAGCAGAGGCAGAGAGAAAAGAACTGTGGAGAGGCTCATGACAGCAGTTAAACTACAGTCTGGGGATGACCTGCATCATGTCTGCTCATAGCTCATTGGCCAAAACTCACCCATGACTCTGCCCACTGGAGGGCCAGAGGTTAAGTCTTCCTTGTGTCCAGAAGAGAAACCGGATTTCAGTGGCAACACTAATGACTCCACACCCAGAAGCTGGGTTCTCAGGCTTTGCAAAATACCTGTTTTTTCTCTGTCAGCCTCTTGTGTCTGGATATTCCTCTACTTTCTGATGAATGACACTCTAGGAAGTAAACGCCTGTCTGGGTAGTGGGTTGGGCTAGGAGGCTTCCTGTCTCCGGAACAGATGACCCAGGGATTAGCTGTTTCCGCTTCCTTCTCCAATCCCCTGGCACCCCAGCCACCTACATACACACACACATATATATATATCAAAACAAAAATGCAATGGGAGCCAAATATGTTGGTTTT